CCTGTAGTCGGGGTTTGAGTCAGCAGTCTAGTTGGGGAATCCCCCAAGAAACCTCTCCTGGAAATTCCTCAGACTTGACTTGTGTGTGTTCCAGCCAGTGCAGGGTCAGATTCAGTCTACCACCTGCACCAGCCAACACACATACCAGTGGATGCGGCCAGCTTTTCAGATACACTCCTAGCCTGGCCCATACCGCAAGCCCCACCACCTCTCCCCTGGCCCCAGGCTCTCTTTTTTTTTTTTTTTTTTTTTATTTAAAGATTTATTTTTATTATTTTTTCATTGGAAAGACAGATATACAGAGAGGAGAGACAGAGAGGAAGATCTTCCGTCCGATGATTCACTGCCCAAGTGAGCACAACGGGCCGATACTATGCCGATCCGAAGCCAGGAGCCTCTTCCGGGTCTCCCGCGCGGGTGCAGGGTCCCAAGGCTTTGGGCTGTCCTCGACTGCTTTCCCGGGCCCCAGGCTCTCTTACACACCCATGGGTGTTGTGGCATAGCTCAGTCTGCTCCACCCCCAGACTCAGCCCACATGAATGCCAATGGGCTTGGCCGAGGCTGCCCTCAATCCTGGCTCTCGGGCTCACTAGCAGGAGCTTCAGCCTAACAGGGGAGTTCCCCAACTTTCCCTATCAGACCCACCTCCAGCCAAGGATCCTCTTGTGCACTGGTAGATATTTGGACCAGCCTAACTGGCCTGAACCCATTCCAACTCTTGCCAGCAGGTGCAATAGCCCAGATCTGCCTAACCCACTCCAGACCTAGCTTTCTAGTGGACCAATAGGTGCTGCAGCCTAGCCCATCCCTTCCTGTACCCTGTGGTTTATCACAAATGCCAGTGGAAGCTGGAGCCTAGCCCAGTCTGGCCTGTCCCTGCACCTAGCCCACACACATGCTGAGGGGTGCTGAAGCCCTCTTCAGTCTGCTCTGCCCACTGTCCTGACTTTCGTGCTCACCAGTGAGAGTTGCAGCCTAGCAGGGTAGTCCCTGTAGTTCCCCCTCTAAGCCAACTCCCAGCCCTAGATCTTGTGCATACCTTTGTGTGCTTCCATCTAGCATGGCATGGCCTGCTCCCAGCCCCAACTCTCGTGACGGGTACTGCAGCCCAGCTCAGCCTGCCCTCAACCCTGGCTCTCATGTGAGCTGATAGGTACAGTTGTCTAGCTCACCATTGGCCACACTCCATCCTGTTTCAGCCCAGCCCCACCCCAAGGCCTAACTCACACACATGCCAACTAGTGCTACAGCCTTGCCTGGCCTGATCCACACTCAGCCCTGGCTTTGTGCTCACCAGCAGGAATTGTGGCCTAGTAGAGGAGTTTCCCAAGTTCCCCTACCAGCCCTGCTTCCAGCCCAGGATCTTAGATGTGTTGGCTAATGCTAGATCCCTGCCTGGCGTAATCTGCCCCCAATCGCAGCCTTTGCATGTGCTGGTAGGTGCTGTAGCCTGGGCCAACCCAGCGTGCTTCCAACCCCAGATTCCATGTCAGTTAGTTAATGTAGTTGTGCCTGGCTTGGCCCTTTACCACCCCCAGCTCTCATGCAAACCAGCTGTTACTGCAATCCCACAGAAGTGAACCCACAAATTCCCTCCAGAATCTGCACCCAATCCTGGTTTTCTGATGAGCTGCTTGATGCCATGGCCCATCCCTTGTCCTGATACTCACTGGTGAGTACTGCTGCCTACCCCTGCCAGGCAGGCCTCCCCTCCTCCCGCAGCATTCTAGCTTTCCTGTGTGCCAGCAGGTAGCAGGCGATGCCACTTAATCCAGCCCAGATCTTCCTGTGTGGCCCTGCTCTCACCTCGATGTGCCTTCTGCCTTCCCTTTTCCAAACCTCTTAAACCCTAGTTTACCTGCAAGCCTAGTGGCCTGGCCTGTAGAAGTCCTCCACAGTCATCCCTCACCTGCAAGTGCAGGGGCCCATCCTTGGAGTTCCCCAGAAGTCATTCCACACCTGCCAAACACCCCCTCAGTGGCCGCACTCCCACTTACCCCCAAATCCCCATGCTCAGGCAATCTACAGACCCAGGAGGAGCTTCCAGTCTCCAGGCAGCAGGATCCACCCAGGCCGCTGTGCAGGTCCCAACCGTGACCTTAGCTTTAAAGTGAGTCGCTTGTAGTCAGCCTAGTCAGATCCTGAGTTTGCTTTTTAATCCACTCAACTCTTACGTCTTTTACTATAAGGTGATGAGAGCATTTACATTCACATTCACTGCTGATAGGGAAGGATTGCCTGTTGCTATTTTGTTCATTGATTTTTGTATGTCTTGTGGCATTTTTGTCTCTCTCTGCCTTCCTTTGTTGAAATGGGATAGTAATATGGCTTGATTTCCTTTTGTGTATGTTCTGATAGATTTTTTTGTATTTGATTTTTTTGTGTGATTACCATTGCTGCTACAAAAGCCATCTTAAGGTTACAGCATGCTCTTGTCTGTAATAACAAGTCAGCTTCCATCACAGGTAGAAACACTTCTGCATGACCTCTACAACCCCTTAAATTATATTTTTATGTTGTGTAGCCATTGACATATATGCATAACTTTTAAAATGTTTTTTCTAACTTTTGTGTACCCAAATTACTCTAGCATAGCTTATTATATTTTTCCATGTACAAGGGACTTCAACAAGTTTATGAGAAATGGAATTAAAATTGCTTTGATATTGGAGCCAGTGTTGTGGCATAGCATGTTAAGTTGCTGCCTCTGATGCCAGCCAGCATCCCATATGGGTGCCAGTTTGAGTCCCAACTTTCCATCTCCCCAGTGATATGCCTGGGAAAGCAGCAGCAGATGGCCCAAGACGCGGGACCCTAAACACATGTGGGAGACCTGGATGAAACTCGTAGTTTCTGGCTTCAACCTAAGCCATCCCTGGCTTTTTCAGATAGATAGATAGATAGATAGATAGATAAGGAGAGATGCATAAATTTAAAAACGTATTACTTCTGGAAAGCTATGTTAGCTACCACTCATTAGCATTAGTTACAGAAGTCACCTGACTGGTAATGAAGTATATTGATTGCCTTTGTCCATCTGGGAAAGTTTTAATTTCTCCATTTGAAAACCAAATTATTTTACTTGAAAGTGTTACACAGAGAAAGGGAGAAACAGATAGAGAAATCTTGCATCTACTGGTTCACTCTCCAGATGGCTGCAACAGCCAGAGCTGGGCTGTTTCAAAAGCTGGGAAGAAGCCAGGAGCTTCTTCCAGGTCTCCCATGTGGATTCAGAGGCCCAAGGCCTTAGCTATTCTCTGCTGCTTTCCCAGGCCTTTATCAGGGAGCTAGATCAGTGACAGAGCAACTGGGACTTGAACCAGCACCTATATGGGATGCTGACTTTGCAAGTGGAAGATTAGTGTGCTATCGCACCGTGCCAGCTGCATAATTTTTCCATTTTGCCAGGTACAGTATTCATGGTTAGCAGAGATGGGGTTTTTTCCCTCTCTCAACATTTTAAAGCTACTCATCATTCTACTGACTTCTGGATAGAAAATTTCCTACTGAAAAATCTGTCAAGAAACTTTTGGAAGCTGCTTTGTGTGTCACAAGTTGCGTATCTATTGTTGCTTTCAAGAGTCTATCTTTGACTTTAGACAGTTGATTATAGTGAGTCTCTCTTCCCTGTGGATTTATCCCAGTTGGAGTTCTTAAAGTTTCTTGATCTGTTTGTCCATTTATTCTCCAAGGTTGGGAATTTGACCACTTACTCAGATAAGCTCTCTCTCCTGGTTTTATTTTCTTTGTCTGGGATTCTCATTACACATTATATCGGTTTGTTTGATAGTGTCCCATAAATCCATTAATTCTCCTCTTTCTTTTTTATCCCTTAACTTGATGATTTCAAATGATTGACCTTCAAATTCATTGATTCTTTCTTATTAAATGTTGTTGAACTTCTTTATATTGTTTTCTATAATTCCTCTGTTAAGTGTCTCATTTCATTCATGCATTGCTCTCCTGATTTTATTTAGTTGCGTGTGTTCTCTTTTAGTTCACTGAACATCTGCATGGTTATTTGGTTCTTTTAAATTTTCTGTCAGGTTATTCATGCTCTTATAATTTTAGAATGAGTTTTTTGGAGTTTGGTCCCTTGGATTGGACCGTGTTTCTCTATGTCTTGGTAGGCCTTGTGATTTTGGTGGTGGGTGTTGGGGCAGGTGGGATTTTGGCAGATGAAAAAGCAACCACTCATTCTGCTGGCTTCATGCGGGGGTGTCATCCTCTAGTCAGCCTAGCTGGGGCCTCTCCAGCCTTTCCTGTCTGCTAATGTTCCCAGTGTCTGTAACTGTGGAACTGCAGCTCTCGCATCCAGTTTGCTTCTGCTTTTAGCAGCTTAAGTGATCAGAGTCAGTGACACAAAGGCCATTCATTCAGAAATTTTCCCCCAGAAAAGACAGAATGTTGCGTGCATGATCCAGTCTTTTGTTGCCATGCCAACAGAGGACCCCAGCCCTTCTAGGTTGTTCTTGATTATACCGTATAGGGAGAGAGGCATGACTGGTGACCCAGGTTGCAGTTTTTCATACCTGTTTTGCTGGAATCCCTTGTTGATTTTACAGTGACCTCAGTGTCACAGCTTTTCTCTTGATCTCCACAGTTGTCACAGACGCATCTTGGTCCATCTTGGGCTGTAGATTTGATGTCTCCTCAGGACAGCAGAGGGGCCCGTTTCTTCCTTGGCTACCACTTTGATGAAGTCATTCTGCCTTGTGCCTTTTCTTAAGAGCAAGATGAAACTTCCCGCACTCATGACCACAGGTTTTTCTTCATACCCCATTGTCCAGATCTGCCTCGTGAACTGCTTCAGAGGGTAGGTCAGAGAGTACAGTGACCACTCAGCATGTTCTCAGCTAAAATTCATGAACTGGAGTTGAACTAGAGTCCACTTGGTACCTGAACAGATTCATTTCTGTTTGTAAGAAACAGGGTAATGACTCCAGGAACGCAACCATTGTGATCATCCTGTATGTTCAGTGCTTGTTTGTCTGTTGCAGAGCCGAAGAGATTCCTCTGAAAATCTTGGCCCACAATGGCTTAGTTGGGAGACTGATTGGAAAAGAAGGCAGAAATTTGAAGAAAATAGAGCACGAGACGGGGACCAAGATAACCATCTCATCGTAAGCTGCTCAGATTTGTTGTGTCTGATAATAGAGAGCTTGCTTAATACTTCTGCTGTTTCTCAGACGTGGGAATATATAAGTGAAATAAGTGTCATCATCAAAAATAAACATGTAAAGATGTTGTCAGATTTTTCTAGCATGGATGTAGTGTAAGTTGCTAGTAAGATTTAACGAGTACGGTACGCCAAAATGTGTTGTGACAAAATCCGGTTGTCTCCTATGTCCACCAGCAATTCATTGTGATTTTTTTTCCTGGAATTTTAATTTTTTTCCTGTTGATAGCAAGTATTTCTTTTTTCTCTTTCTCGCAATGGCCAGATTGCAGGATTTGAGCATATACAACCCTGAGAGAACCATCACTGTGAAGGGCACAGTCGAGGCCTGTGCCAACGCTGAGGCTGAGATCATGAAGAAACTGCGTGAGGCCTTTGAGAACGATATGCTGGCCGTTAATGTAAGTGATGTAGGGCTCTACTCCTGGGTGGTTTCCTAAGAGGCTTAGTGTGAAACCATTAAAATCATAAACTCTATAGACTGTAAAATGAGGAAATAATTAGGACAGAAAGTTTGGTAGGGAAAGCAAGATAGAAAAGGGTTATGGCGGTATAGAATCATACGGACCAAGAAGACTGGAAAGCTACTTACAAAAACGAAGATGGGGGTGGCTCTGTGATATCACAGTTTAGCCTCCACCAGCATGGAAGCATCACATATAGGCACAAGTTCAGAACCAGCTTCCTGATAATGTACCTGGGAAAGCAACAGAGAATGTCCCACGTGCTTGGATCCCTGCACTCACATGGGAGACCCAGAAGAAGTTCCTGGCTCCTGCCTTTGGACCAGCCCATCTCCAGCAATTGCGGCTGTTAAGTGAGTGAACTGGCAGATAGAAGTTCTCCATCTCCCTCTCCTTGTAAATCTGCCTTTCAAATAAATAAATCTTTTTTAAAAAAATGAAAGTAAGTGATAAGCCAGCTGGGCTGGGCAATCTGAATCTCCCAGGTGAGTGGCAGGAAGATAACTGCTTGAACCAGCACCTGCAGCCGCGCAGGTGCACATAAGCAGAAGCTTAAACCTGGCACTCAGGTGTGGGATGCAGGCCTCCTGATCCTGTGCTTACGTAAACCAACTTCAACACTTGTCAGCTCACAGCCCTTTTAATTTGAGCCGAACCATATCTATTCCCCATCCCTCTTGGAGGACTTTGTAGCGAATCTCTGCCCTAGTATAATGTTTCCTAAAGGAGTGGCTGTTGACAACAGCCTCTGGGGGGCCACACCCCAGATCCCTCACTGCAGCACTGTCCCCGGAGCTCTATTTTCTTTTTTTTTCTTAATTTTATTTTTTATTGGAAAGTCAGATTTACAGAGAGGCGGAGAGACAGAGAGAAAGGTCTTCTGTCAGCTGGTTTATTTCTCAAGTCGTCACAACAGCCAGAGCTGAGCTGAAGCCAGGAGCTTCTTCCAGGTCTCCCACATATGTGGGTGCAGGGTCCCAAGGCTTTGGTCCATCCTTGACTGTTTTCCCAGGCCACAAGCAGGGAGCTGGATGGGGAGTGGAGCAGTCGGGATACGGACCAGCACCCATATGAGATCCTGGTGGATGCAAGCTGATGACTTTAGCCACTAGGCTACTGCGCCGGGCCCCTGTCCCTAGTGTTCTTGGCTTGGGTTGGTGCCATGGCCGCCCTCACTCCCACTTGCAGCCTGCCTTTCCTGTGGATCACGGGCCCATGAGACTCACTCCTCATACTTGGATACATTCATCTGTGGAGGACTCCCGACACCTTAGGGCTGTCTCCTTCTGGAAACGCTACAAAGGGTCCAGAGGCTCCCAGCATCTGTAGCTGAGCCTGTTGCTCAGATGCATTTGTGTCTAGAATCAAGTTGAGCACTCTTGTTGGACGAGTAACAGAGTTACTATATCAGATGAGGTGAAGACAGTCAAAGATAAGGTCCTAGGTGACCGCAGGCACAGAGGAGCAAACAGAAGATGTAGGAAAGCTGGCTCATGTCCAGGAGGCAGGTTGAGCCCAGGCTGGCATGGGTGCCCGCATTCCTCCACCTCTCACGGCCCATGTAACTGGAACCTGTCTCCAGCCTGCGGGAGCGTCTCTGTGTGTAAAGGTGACACCAGCAAACAAGGCCATTGCCAAGCCCGCAACTTGATAAAGGAGACAGTGAGCCGTGTGGAGCCTGGGTTGTGGAACCCAGAAATGTAGTGTGTAAAGTTAAAAATCTGATTTGCTTAAAATGCAGTCATTTCACATATATTTATCAAGTACTTACTGCATGCCGGGCAGTGAGAACACAAGTTTGTGTCTGCCAGGGAACTGTGATCTGAAAGGTTAGACCATGGTAAGGAGTAGGCAATTGAGAGGCCGTGTGACAGGCGCTATGTTAGCAAAGCAGAGGCCTGTGTGCGGGGATACCTGAACTCGGGTAAAGTCCACCTAGCGAGGAGGCCTTGGCCAGGAATGGAACGAGAGAGGTGCTTCTTTGCAAGGCAGATTGTGTGCGTGCTGGGCAGGGAGGTGAGGGTGAGTGTGGGGTGTTCAGGGAGGCTTAGGCAGGGTGGGGTGAGGGCTTAGCAGGGTGCCCTGGGTGCTCAGGGAGAGTCCTGTTGGCCTGTGGAGATGTGTGGACCTTCCCAAGGGCAGCAGAATAGCTTGGAAGGAATGCCATGGTCACGCTGGGGTCAGTGCCCTGTCCCCCTCTGGGGTGCAGCCTGCAGAAGATAAGGTCCACAGCCCAGTTTGAGCCGATCGGGAGAACAGATGCCACCCACACGAGAGCTGCAGGTGGAGCCAGGCAAGCTGGGCCTCTCTGGCCTCCGCGCCTCATCACTTTTCTCCATTTCTGTCCCCAGCAACAAGCCAATCTGATCCCAGGGTTGAACCTCAGCGCACTTGGCATCTTTTCGACGGGACTGTCCATGCTGCCTCCACCAGCAGGGCCCCGCGGGGTACCCCCCACTGCCCCCTACCACCCATTCACTGTAAGTAGCTCAGACCCTGAGTTTTTCCCACACTCGGGGCACCTCCAGGCAGCAGTGTTGCTCTGCCAAAGCCCAGGCTTTCGTCCAGAGGCTGTGCTTACAGGCGATGACAGGATGCCACCAGCACTGCTCAGGACACCACACTGTCCTATCAATACAGGCTGTTAAACACGCTGTGAGGGTGCGTCAAGAAGTGTGTGGCAAAGTGGAGTTAAAAGTTAAGTTTAATGATTTTGAAGTTCATGAACAGGCTTGCCCCTCCATAATATGCATTTTCTGCAAACTTTTTGGAGACTCTTCACATATGTCCTGTCCTGGAAAGAAAGAAGCTACTAGCAAACTCATTAACTAAAGGCCTGTTTGCTATGTAAAAAGAATCTGTTAGCTCAAGTAGCAGTAGGTATTGGTTATTGATTAGAATAGCAGAGTACCTGGATGAATGTATAAGTACACACACACACACACACACACACACGCATGCATTCATACAATTCCTGCCTGTGTTTATCATTGAAATGCATTGTTGTATTAATAAGTGTTTTAGAAGAAGGTACTAGATAGCTTGGGATCTAACTACTTAGCATTTAGTAGTTCTCTATGAATAGTTATTGTTTGAATCCATTCACAACAGAGAAAGGAAGGTAAATTTTAAGTTTTCTGCTGGGTCCGGCGCAATAGCCTAGTGGCTAAATCCTTGCCCTGTATACACTGGAATCCCATATGGTTTGTATCCTGGCTGCTCCACTCCCCATCTAGCTCCTTGCTTGTGGACTGGGAAGGCAGTAGAGGATGACCCAAGGCCCTGGGACCCTGGGCCCACATGGGAGACCTAGAAGAAGCTCCTGGCTCCTGGTTTCGAATTGGCTCAGCACCTGCCATTGTGGCCGCTTGGGGTTCAGTGAGCCAGTGGAATGGAAGATCTTTCCCTCTCTCTCAACTTCTCTCTGTAGATCTGCCTCTGCAATAAAAATAAATACATCTTTACAAAAAGATGAAAATTCAAAAAAACAAAGTTTGCTTGTTGCTTTTATTTCACAAGCATTCATACCAAATTGGAACTCTGGGTACTTGACAGTTCTTTTTGCAATCCTAATTCATCTCACCATATACTGCTAATTATTTGAGTGAGCTTTCTTTGTGAAAAAGTTTATGCTGTTTACGTGGGAGTAGTCAGGTGGGCAAAGCACTTGGTCAGGACTTAGACGTTGCATTGTGTGAGTTCATTGTAGCTTCTTTTTAAATTTTTATTTATAAAATTTTTAAAATTTTGTTGGAAAAGCAAATTTTCATAGGAGAGACAGAGGAGAAAATCTTCCTTTTATTGGCTTATTCCCTAAATGGCCACAGTGGCCAGAGCTGAGCTGAGCCAAAGCCAGCGGCTTCTTCCAAGTCTCTCACGGTAGGGCAGAGTCCCGGGGACCTGGGCCATCCTCCACTGCTTTCCCAGGCCGTACACACAGAGCTGGGTTGGAAGTGGAGCAGCCGGGACATGAACTGGTGCCCGTAAGGATGCCGGTGCGTTCTGGCAAAGGATTAGCCCGTTGAGCCACAGTGCCAGTTCCCTTAAAGGTGGGATGAATCCACTGTGCTCTTCTGTCAACCAAATAGTGAAATGAACTGATGACTTCTCCGTAGTCCTGTTCACAGGCAGCACTTCTGAGTCACCTCCGAGGCTGAGGGGTAGAACCCCACAGAGAGGCCTGTGTGTGTGTGTGTGTGTGTGTGTGTGTGTGTGATAGGAGGGACCATGGCAGCTGTTAAGTCCTGTGGCTGCCCAAGGCATGAACCGCTGGGAGCTTGAGACTGACCCAGCAGGGGACAGCAAAGGGTGCGAGGCTGCACTGCTGGCCACCTGGCAGTGGAACTGAAGGGCAGGAAGAAGCAAAAGAAAAGAAACCATTTCTTAAATTTGCAGTTTAAGTTAAGGTCTGCCTACTGTAGCCTGAGGAGGTAAATTTAGCTTTATTGGGAACCAGCCATGGCTGTTTACTTATGTTTGGTCTGTTTCTATTTTTCTACAGCAATGGCCAAGGTAATACATACAGCAGATACTATATGACCTGTAGGGTCTGAAATATTTTTATTCAGTGTCTTGTTTAGTTGGTCCCTGAATTAAAACAAGATGTTTTTTGGATAACCAGTTTTTTAGACTTGCAAATAGGTTTTGCCAGTCAGCCCCTTTCTGAGGCGGCAGACACGCTAAAGTGTCTACTAAAACAGTAGAGTAGCTATTTTATTATATAGTACCTGTTCTTTATAAAGCAGGTTTAAATGGAATTCTCATTTTAATAAAAGCCTCGTAGCTCTGAGCTTGACTCCGTGGATCAAGGTTAGACCCTGATCCAGAGCACACAGTTGCCTCGCCTCTCGGAGGAGACATGATGGGCCCGCAGACGCTGCCCTCACTGCACACCTGTGCAGGACCTGGGAGTGTCGCACCACAGGCTGTGGCCTGCTCCAGGGCCCTTTTCAGTGGTACTTCAAATTCTTCTACTTTCCGGTCACATAGGAAATTCAGATTGAGAGATTAAAAGGGTATTTTCGGATTGCTTTAAGATATACAAATATATATATATTTAGAAGCCAGTTTCAGAGAGAGAGAAAGAGATCTTCCATCTGCTGGTTACGCTGCCCAGTTAAAGCCAATACTGGGCCGGACCACAGCCAGGAGCTTCATGCAGGTCTCCTAAGAGGGATGCAGGGATGCAGGGCCCCAGGTGCTTGGGTCATCTGCTGCTGCTTTCCTCAGGCCTCAAGCAGGGAGCTGAAGCCGGAGTGGAGCCGCTGGGATATAAGCCAGTGCCAGTCTGGAACGCAGGCACCAGGAGTGGAGGCCTTCACCGCCTGGGTTGCTCCTGCACAGCACAAGCTTGTCATGTGTTTGTTTTAGTCACCAAGGGTCAGGAAGTCTATGCATCTCCTTATAGCTGGCGTGGCGTACACTGGTTGGTCTGTGGAATTCTTGATGAGTATGTGTGTATGAAAATACTATTTTTCATAGTTTTCTTGGTTATAAAAGTAATGCATGTGTAGTATTTATGAAGCAAATAATACCAGAATATAAATTACAAGCTGTTTTCTTAATCTCAACCAGCATTCCCAGGTATATGCATGTGTTTATTGTTCCTGTGTGTTAGATATTTCACGTTGCAGTGGAAATTCTTGGTGTATGTGTTTTGGCTTCTCTTACCCAGTTACTTCTCAAATAAATTCCTAGAAATCTCAATGTATGTCAGAATGCTTATGGAAAATGAAATGAAAAGCTAAGCTTGCGGGACAGGCGTTTAAGCTGCCGCTTGGGACACCCGTGTCTAATTTCAGAGTGCCTGGGATCGAGTCCTGCCTCTACCTCCTCCGTTCCAGTTTCCTGCTAATGTGTACCCTGGGAGGCAGCAGATGATGGCCCAGGTACTTGGGTTCCTGCCACCCCCATGGAGCCCTACACGCGGTTCCAGGCTCCTGGCTTCACCTGATGCTTGCAGGCATTTGGGGAGTGAACCAGCAGATGGAAGAATTTTCTTTCCTTCCTTCCTTCCTTCCTGCCTGCCTGCCTGCCTTTCTGCCTTCCTTCCTCTCTCTCCTTCCTTTCCATTGAGTCTTTTGAATAATGGAACAAAAACTTATTTATTTTACTGCAGAACATTTTGAAATCCATGTGCGGCTTTTTCATAATACATACATTCAGTGAACTTTTTGAAGGTTCTTCCTCATATGCACAGAATTTAGAATTTTCTGCAGCAAAAGAAACATTTTTTTCATCAACTTTTTGAAGTAGACTCGTAGAATTGCTGAGTTGAAGAGTGCATACATTCTACATGCTGATGGGCAAACACCCTCAAAGAATGTCTGACAGAAACAAATGCTCCATGCCTGTTGATGCTCCCTTGTCGTCTGATATTTAAAAATAGACTTTTTTGGTTAGTGAGAAACTGAACAATTTGGGATGCTTTGGCCTTTTTCCTGCTCTTTAATCGGTTGTCACTGCATTGTGGATGTGGTTTGTCCCCTCAGGTTCATCCCAGAGTGACCGTGTTGGGTCGGTGGGAGGCAGCTGTATCTCATGGCTATACTGATGCTGTCTCCTGGGGGTGGGGCAGGTCTTGGGGACTGGACTAGTTCCTGTAAGAATGGGTAGTGGTCAGTGACCCAGCACCTGCCTGCTGCCCTCTCACATACCTGTTTCTGCCAGCCCACGTCAGGTGCTCAGCAGGACCCTGCACTTCCAGATCAGAGGGGCTCAATAGACCCAGTGCAGGTGTTTTTGTTAGAGCAACAAAAGCAGATTTAAAGCCAGTTGGCCCTGTGCACTTTGCTGGGCAGCCTGTGGAGGAGCAGCGTGGCTGAGGCCGCAGTGCCAGCGTGTCTGCGGTGGACTTCCTGCACAGCCTTGGGTCAGCAGTTTCTCTGAGGTGACCTGGCCAGCGGAGGGACAGCCCCTATAGCAGGGGCTGTTGGGAGGATTTACTGAAGAACCAAAAGCCTGCACAGTGGAAACTGCTGGGTGGTTCTTACTGGCTTTTTTTCATATTAATGATTTGTAATCCTTTATGAAGGCTGTGAAACGCTTGTTGTGTTGTAAATAGTTTGCACCAATTTGTCATTTCTCTTCGCTTCATTTATAGTGTCTTGTAACTAGTAATTTCTTTCCCTTTTTTTGTGTCGAATGTATGAAGTCAGCTGTGACTGCTTGTCTTCAGCCCTCCTTTTACTCAGTTTTCCTCCAACTTCCACACCCTAGGCAAAGCCTTGTTACATGTACACATTTTTAAATGCTGTCTCAGCACATTTGTAAAATCAGATTGTCCAGAAATATAAATGGAATCATGCCACATAGAGTGAGTTATAAGAATTACATAGTTATTTACAAGATATTATCTATCTATCTTTCTGTAACTAGGCCTAATTTTTCTTAATGTCTACACAGTATTCCGGTGGTTTCCTAATGAGCCCTTTGGAGACATGTGGGTTGATTCCAGGTCTTCTTACTACAAACAGTGTCAAAACATACATCCTTTGGAGTCTTTGCAAAAGTGATTATATACAAACAAATTGGGCCAGGCACAATAGCCTAGTGGCTAAATCCTCTTCTTGCATCCGCCAGGATCCCATATGGGTGCTGGCTCATGTCCCGGCTGCTCAACTTCCCATCCAGCTCCCTGCTTGTGCTCTGGGAAAGCCTTGGGACCCTGTACCTGCGTGGGAGACCCAGAAGAAACTCTTGGCTCCTGGTTTCAGATTGACTCAGCTCCAGCCATTCCAACAGATGGAAGATGTTTCTCTCTGTCTTTCCTTCTCTCTGTGTATCTGTCTTTCCAATTTAAAAAAAAATCATTAAAAATGAATATATATACATAGCTATCATCTGAAAGTAAATTCTCTGACTGGCATTATTATACCAAAAGGTATATGAATTTTAATTATTCAGAAATTTCTCCCAACAGAAGTCTTGTAGAAATGTTCAGAATTAAGGTAGTTAATTCATAAGCCTGACATTTAAATATTTTTTTAAAGTTCCTTTTTAAAAAGATAGTTAAATCAGTGATGTTTCCCTTTGAGTTTCTGGACTTTGGACATCACACCACAAAAAAAAAAAAAAAAAAGCTTTCTTGCATCCAAAATTGTAAAGAAAAATTGTCCCGTGTTTTTTCATACTAATTTTTCATTGTTGGCTTGATAGGAATTGCTTGTCTGTGGAACACAGAGAGAATTTATCTCGACTCATACTTTCAACAGAATTCTAACATTGTTTTTCCCCAGGTAGATGGCCAGTGTCCCAGAACTATTTATTGACTGACATACCGTTTTCTCATTAAAATGCCAACTGTGTTGTAAGTTCACTTCCCCAAATGCCCACAGTAGCCAGGGATGGGCCAGGCCAAAGCCAGGAGCCTGAGATTCCATCCGGTTCTTCCACAGGGACAGAAGGACTTGGCACGTGGGCCGTCTTCAGCTGCCTCCTGGACGCAGTAACAGGCAGCCGCGTTGGAAGCAGAGTGGCCGGGATAGAAATAGGCCTCGCAAAGGGGATTCCGTGTTGCAGGGGGCGGCCTGACCCACCTCACCCACAGGCGGCTCCCTTCCCCTCACACAGGCATGGCCGTCACCCGATCTCGCACATTAAGTTTTTCAGATAAATGTGGTTCCAGGCTGATTTTCTTTTTTTCTTTTTCTGCAGAGAATACTTTTTATGTTGTAAGGCTTTGGGTTTTTTGGGTTTTTGTTGTTGTTGTTGTTGTTTGTTTTTTGCCTTTTCTGGTATTTTGCCATTACCCTTAGAATTGTGGATCTGTAGATTGGAGCTTCTGTTCAGACTGTGTCATTTCCTTCTGTATGCTAATTCTAATTTTACCTGTCTCCATCCACTTCTTCACACTCTCCTGGAATTCCTCACTTGACAGACAGTAAACTTTGCTCTTCACACCTCTCTGTCTTTGGGCTTCATGTGGGTTCACCTCCTGATACACGTTTGGGCCTCTCAGCAGAGTCTGTTCTGCCATTGACGCCTCCTCTGCCAGTAGGTTCTCCGCTCATCCTGGTCGTAACTGCCCAGATCACCCTAGATCTCCGATTAGTCTTCTCTGCTGGCAGGTGACTCCCATGTTGTCCAAGTGCTGACTCCCTAGAAAATCAAATCAGACCTTGCCCAAGTTCTCCCTCCTTCCTAGATTAACTCACTGGGGTTGTCTACTTGCCTTACTGAGCCTAGTTCCTATCTTGGCTGCTGCTGAGTCTCTGTAGGTGGCTGATGAGCTGTAATGGCATATTCATGTACTTTAGTAAACTCAGGAAAGAACTTAGATGCCTGCGATAGGAGGAGGGGAGTGATTTTTAATCCCATACCTGACAGGCCTCACCTGAGCCAGTGCAAGTGGCTGCTGTGAAGGGAGACACTTTGGCAGGTGGGGCCACTGCACCTTCCGAGTCTTGGAAAGCCGCCTCCATGACACAGGTCCCTCTGACTGAGTTCCCTCCACTTCCCTGGGCCCCGGTCACTCGGTAGTGACCCTGAGGTGACTGAGATATTTGAATGTGACTCGTGCACCTGGAGCTGGCTGCTGCACCTCCCCTTCCACCCTTCATTCTTCCCTGCACTGCACCCCACATGCCCTCCCCGACTAGTGTGGCTGCTGCAGGTCTCCCAGGCCCAACTGTGTGGAGATCCCTTGTTCACCACACACACCCCATCCATCACAGGGCCCAATCCCAGAGTGAGGCAGAAATGAATCCAGGAATGCTGGTGCGGGGGTAACCCCCTCTCATGTCTTTCAGTTGGCAGAGGCTGGGGGAGCACCTGCCTGAGACACCTCCCTCCGCAGTAACTCCCGTTCCCTGCCCCGGCTGCAGCCCTCTGCAGACCCTCAGAAGTAAAGCAGCTGCTGCTCGCTGGACAGGTGGACTTCCCTCCTGACCTTTCCCGCTCCTTGGAATGTGGGCCAAATGTCACTCAGCAGCACTGGCTTTCTTGAGATCACTGCTGGGTGCTCTTTCTGGTCCTACCTAGGAAGTAGGCTGTGAGAACCGCCTGGCATGAGATTGTGAGCTGCATGTGGAGGGTCAGCATTCTGGGCAGCAGAGGGTTTGCAGTCTACTGTCCACACTGAATGCTGGTAGCCCATGTGATGCCCGATGCCGGGCTCCTTCACTGCTGCTACCTTCCCACAATGTGGATCACCCTGCAGGGTGCCCGTTGTGCTTGGAGTCAAACCCACATCCTACCACATCCAAACCACAGCCTACAAGGCATTGTCTCTGTCTCTGCCACTCTGCGTGTTGTTCCTTGCGTTCACTGTGTGGGGAACCCCTCTTTCACAGCCAGCCTCCCTCTGTACCGTGCCCCCGCCCCACCTGTGAAAACCCTGTCTGGTCTTCCCCTAGCCACGGCCGCCTTCCACACCTCCTTGCACCCACCACCCAAGCAGAACATGTGTTTTGCGGTGGCAGCGACTTTCTCTCTCCTGGTAGCTGCCTGCACAGCACCAGAAGCGGTACTGCCACCAGCAGGAAGGCGGCCACCTGTGGGAACGAGTCCTTACCACCGCCCTGTGTGGCCAGCCTGGCAGCCTTGAGTCCATTGGTGAATGAGAGCCAGAAAGGTCAAATAAATGATCCCAGCGTGCAGAGCTAGTGTCGCTGGCTCAGCCCTCTGGCTGCAGTGAGCTCCTGCCGGCTGAGTCGAGGTTCTTCCCTCTGATGATTTTACAGCTATGATTTGTGAATCAAAAGGAACTTGTCCTATGTGTCCTTCATAGCTCATTAAAAATCTCTCTCTCAGATGCCAAGTGCAAAGTCTGAACAGGATGTAGCATGTGTAATCAGGAGTGTGTGACCCCAGCATAGCAACCACACTGTAGCCCATCTAGTCTGGGTCTCCTGTGATTATGAAGGGAAAAGGCGAGTCAGGAATGCAAAGGATTATTTCCACTAGCAGGGATGAGGGAGCCTGCTCTGGGAGAAATGAGGGCAGAAGTGTCCCTTTCCAGGGTGAAGTTTTGTCTGAGGGACCAGCGGGGGAGAAGCAGCTGAGGCCGATGCTCTCCTCAGGCAGCTGCAAGCGCTGTGGACATCTCACCTACGGTCCCTCCAGCTGGTATCAGTGTGCCCTCTTGTGGGACTATTATGCCACTGCAGCCCCTTACCAGCCTCAGCAGTGTCACCCTGTAATTTCCCCCTCTGTCCCTGTCGGCCTTTCTAAGCTCAAAAGGGGAGAAGTTGCATGTTTTCCCAGCATTCTTTGCCAGGGGTTGTAATCTGCAACTGGAGACTCAGCAGGTGGAGGATGGGCATGTCACTGGGAGATCTGCTTGGAGACTAGCACCCAAGTCCCAAGTCTCGCACATGCTTGGCAGTGGAGCCACCTGCCTCCAGGGGCGAGTTTGCAGGGATGGTTCCTCCTTTTTTGTCATAGGAATGTCAGGGTCTCCTTGGCCTTCCAGAAAGCACAATGAACTGGATTTTTTTTTTTCTGACTTTGGTCAGCATCCCACCCATATAACTATAGAATAGCAGATGTGTCCTAGAATCACAAGCCTATGGCTGGGATTAAGAGGTTAAGAGTTGAAGTATCCACCACACTACCTAGTACCTAGTAGGTATTTGGTACAAAGCAATGACTTGAAAATTCCATGTTCTGATAGCCCTGTTGTCTTCTGCCCGTGTCTGCCTTCCTATCCTCTCCTTACACTCACACGTGGCACATGTGTTGCATTTCTTTTGCCTTGTCTCTTGATTGCTTTCTCAGTTTCTCTGCTCTCAGTCCATGGGATTCTCTGCTGGAGTGGACTGATTGTGTCCACACTCCCCCACCGCCCGGGCAGCTCAGCCACCTGTCCCGAGTGCGAGCTCTGTCCCTGAATCTACTGACCTCCAGCATTGACAAGTCACTGCCCCATCTCCACGGCCAGGGGCAGGCCAGGGGAGTACGTGCTCGCACTCCGGGTTCACTCCCACAGGAGCTGCTGAAGCCTGAAGCACAGCCCGCCTTAGGAGTGATGGATGCTGGACCCAGGGGGCCACTGCGTCCATGCAACTTTGGGCCAAGATTTCAGTATCAGGGCAGCGGGTGGAGCTCTGGGTTGCAGAGGACAGGCGCGTGGACGCTGGTGTGGGCAGCCCGTGTTACAGGTGGGCCTTGTGCCCCGCTGAAGATGGGACGCTCACTCACTGCCTGATGGTTTCTCTCCCCCTGCAGACGCACTCCGGCTACTTCTCCAGCCTCTACCCCCACCATCAGTTCGGCCCGTTCCCGCACCATCACCCTGTAAGTGCCCCTCCATGCAGCCCCACCCTGTGGTTGGCCCCACGCAAGCTCTGGCTCTTGGGGTTTCAGATTGCCCTGGATGCAGTGTGGCTGAGAGCTTGAGCACACCTGTCTGTTCTTGGGGCTGCCCTGTGGGACAAGCCTGCCAGCAGGTGGCAGGAAACACATGCAAGTCCACAACCAGGAGATCAGATCAGCCAGTGCTGGGCTGGACAACAAAGATCAGTAAACAGCATCAGGCAGTTGAGGTCTTGCATTCCTGCGAATCCCTGTAGCAAGGACACCTGGCAGCCTTGCTCAGGAGGGTGTTCTCTGCCTCACCGTGTCCCCAGGCAGTCACCCGTGGCCTGCCCAAGACAGGTCTGACTTCCTCGTGGGAATGCCCCACAGACTGGCCACCTACCAGTTCCCTCTAAAGGCCAGTAATTTCCGCACTCCTAGGACAGCCAGTTCCCACGGGGTGCATGACAGGTGCTGGGGGGGTGGCAGCTGGCCAGAGAACCCTTGCTGGAGCTGTGTCTTCTGTCTTGTCTGCCCTAGTACCCGGAGCAGGAGATCGTGAATCTCTTCATCCCAACCCAGGCAGTGGGTGCCATCATCGGGAAGAAGGGGGCACATATCAAGCAGCTGGCCAGGTTCGCCGGCGCCTCCATCAAGGTAAGGCCGGCCTCGGCTGCCACCACGCTTACGCCGGCCAAGCCTCATGCCCTGGATCGTCCACTCTGTTCTTCCTTTTGTTCCTTTTGGGTTCCACTAACAGTCATGGTAGAAAGAACTCTTGTGACAAAGGATCCAGCCCAGTGCCATGGCTTGACCATTGCTGCTCTTCTGCAGATGAGGCACAAAGGGAGCTGGAGTTGTCCCGAGCGGGGTTGCTGGCGGGAGCAGAAGGGCAGCTGTCAGTGCCTTCCTGCTGGCCTTGGTCCCTGCCACATCCAGAGGGAATTCTGGGAGGCAGAGGGAACTCGGGAAGGCAAGGATCGGTCCTGCAAAGCTGACTGTCCCTAGGAATGGGGCTTTGGGAGGCAGGCCTGGCTGGGAGCCTCCCTTCCCACTGCCTTCCCTGCAGGGAGAAGCTGAAAGGGGAGGGCTTTTTTGCCCTGGTGCTGCTTTAGGTCTGGCCATCAGCTCTGACTCCCAGGCAGAATGCTGAAGCTCTCTGGGAGAAAGCCACAGGCAGCCTGGGGGTCTACACGAGCATGCATCCCCCTCAGGCAGCACTGGAGGCCATGAAAAGGCAAGCGTGCTGCCAAAGACAGGGTAGAGTGCCGGCCCAGATCTCTCATTAAAACCTCTGTGCAGAGATCTGAAGGGAGCCCTGACAGGTAGGGCCTGCGAGGCAGCTGATGGCCATGGTAGGCAGCCGCACCCCACAGGCGTGCCCTGCTCAGCCTGGTCGCTGTGCAGCCTGGAGGAAGAGCCGAGAGACTGGCTCCTCCAATCCCCCGTGGTTCCCCTGAGGGAGGCAGAGACTGGGTGCAGGGCAGGGTCAGGACTTGTAGGTGCAGGGCTGGCTGGGACAGTAATGTTCCATTTACTGGGGCCCAGGTTTCATGAGCTTGCCAGGGATATTTGATTTGCAATCCAATATTTTTTTCTCCCCATAACAACCCAATGGCTCTGCCAGAGTCACTCCAGCCAGGCCTTTAGGAAAAAAAGGAGAGAATGGATCCGTGCCCTCGGGCACTCACCCCCTGGACCCACAGAAATCTTGGTCACCTGTGCCTCAGTCATCCACAGACCACACTCATGAAGGCCAGAGGGTCCCCTGAAGATCCTCTGGGAGTGCGCTTTGGATATAGTCGCAGTGAAACTGAGTCGCCAGTGCTGGGCCCCTGTAACAAGGACACCTGGCAGCTTTGCCCAAGAGGGCAAGTAATGGAACCCTGTGCAGGTGGAGGCCTTTTTTGGAGCCCAGGGCTGAGGCCCAATGGCCCAAAGGCAACAATGGTGCAGATGCCATTGGTGTCAGTGGAGGCTCCCAGGCTCCCAGGCTCCCTCCAGCCCGTCTCGGCAATGGCCACTTCCTTGAGCCTCTGGAACACTGGGACCTACACCTATAGTTTTCCTGCGCCTGCTGATAGGGATTCCATCCATGTCAGTGGCTCACCAGGCAGGCATGTGGGGCTGGGGAGAGGCACCCATGTGCCAACCTCCCTTCTCTGCTTCTGCATTAACATTTTAGATGCCTGGTATACTTTTCATCCATATATTTCCTTTAAAAGTTGGGAGAGTGTTAAGTCAGGAATTGGAGAAAAAGAAACGAAGACCTCATTAAGAACAATGCTTTCTGGATAGGTTGAGTTGTTACAAAGAAATCAGACAGCCATGACTTGAATTAGGAAACTCTGCAGCCTCAACATTTGACAAATCTGGGAGGGAGGTCCGGGGGCAGGGGGTGGTCGGCAGGGCCGGGATAGCAGCTGGCTTGTCCTCCTTCCTGCTCTGGCACTGACATTCCTATGGCTCATTTGCTATGGGTATGGCTACAGGTGTTCAACCCCAATGTCATCTGCCATTGATTGCCTGTGGGAGCGGATTAGAACCATGGTGACCATTCCTGCAAGGGCGATCTCAGTTTAATGCCTGTGTGGACCCTGCCTTCCTGCCCACTGGGCCCTAGCTGGGTTGGCAGAGCCGGTACCCTCTCCAGAACCACTGACTCCATGAATTTGGCCCAGTTGAAGGGAGGCCAGTCCTTGTGGTGCTTAGAGCAGCACCCTGCCCTGCCTACCACTGACCTGTTTCTTAGTCTTCCTGGGTGGCCAAAGACCCAAATTTCACAGAGCCTGGTATACTACAAGCCAGGGTAGAGACAGCCTGGTGTCAGAGAAAGCCATGCTCTGTTGGTATGTGCGCCCTCCACATCGACAAGAAAGAGGGGCATAAGGAGCACGAGCAAGCATTGGTATTTTCCCTCTTTCCTTGTGAACTGCAGATTGCTCCAGCAGAAGGCCCGGATGTCAGTGAAAGGATGGTGATCATCACTGGACCACCTGAAGCCCAGTTCAAGGTCAGTGCCAAGGATATCTCCACTCTGCAGGCTGTAGGCACCAAGGCGAGGCTCTTTTGGGAGACCCACACGTGTCCCTTCCTGCTACTGTTCGCTGGTCTGACTCTGCTCTGCCCTGTCTTCCTTCACTGCCCTGGACAGGTAGGTTGTCTGTGCTCACTTCAGAGGCACCACTGGCACACCACTGGTCCTCTCCCCTCTCATCTAGGCAAGGATGCCCTTCAGGCTCTGGGGCCCTGGCATGGTGACACAGCACACAGGAGGACACAGCACAGTTTGTAGAAAGTTCTTCGTGAAGGGCATTGTTTTGTTCTTGCCCTAGGAACATGATAACAAGTTTTGGGGAGGGGGGGTTAAGTTTTTTTTTTAATTGAAAAGTCAGATATACAGAGAGGAGGAGAGACAGAGAGGAAGATCATCCATCCAATGGTTTACTTCCCAAGGGGCCGCAACAGCTGAAGCTGAGCCTATCTGAAGTCAGGAACCAGGGCTTCTTCTGGGTCTCCCATGCAGGTGCAGGATCCCAAGGCTTTGGGCCGTCCTCGACTGCTTTTCCAGGCCTCAAGCAGGGAGCTGGATGGGAAGCAGGACCACCAGGATTAGAACCGGCACCCATATGAGTTCCCGGCACTTGCAAGGCGAGGACTTTAGCTGCTAGGCTACCAATGCCAGATCCAATGAGTTTTCTAAGTAAAGTCAGGAAAGGGAGGAGGGTGTTGTGATACAGTGGGATAAACTGCCTGGGACACTGACATGCTGTGTCCATGAGCCCAAGATGGAGTTCTGCATCCACCTCCCATCAAGCTTCCTACTGAGGTACTCCTTGGGAGGCAGCAGGTGCTGGTTCTAATACCTGGGTCCCTGCCATTCACATGGGAGAGCTGGATGGGGTTCTTGGCTTCATCCTAGTTCACCAATGGCTATTGTGAGTGGTGGAGGCAGGAAAACTAGTGGGTAGAAAATAAACTTTAAAAATAAAAAAGCCCACACTTATGAAAAAGCAATCCTTGCCATTAAAATGTTTAAAATTTTTTTTAAGATTTATTTTTATTATTTTTTTATTGAAAAGGCGGATATACAGAGAGGAGAGACAGAGAGGAAGATCTTCCGTCCAATGATTCACTCCCCAGAGGGCTGCAACGGCTGGAGCTGAGCCAATCCGAAGCCAGGAGCCTCTTCCAGGTCTCCCATGCGGGTGCAGGGTCCCAAGGCTTTGGGCCATCCTCGACTGCTTTCCTGGGCCACAGGCAAGGAGCTGGATGGGAAGTGGGGCTGCCGGGATAGAACCGGCGCCCATTTGGGATCCCAGGCGTGCAAGGCGAGGACCTAAACCACTGTGCCACCGCGCCGGGCCTAAAATGTTTAAAATTTAACAGAGAACATAAAATACACCTGGGGCTCGGTGCGGTGACCTAGCAGCTAAAGTCCTCGCCTTGCACACGCCAGGATCCCATCTCTGCACTAGTTCTAATCCCAGCAGCCCTGTTTCCCATCTAGCTCCCTGCTTGTGGCCTGGGAGGGCAGTCAAGGACAGCCCAAAGCCTTGGGACCCTGCACCCGTGTGGGAGACCGGAGGAGGCTCCTGGCTTCAAATAGGCGCAGCACCAGCCGTTGCGCTCACTTGGGGAGTGAATCATTGGACGGAAGATCTTCCTCTCTGTCTCTCCTCCTCTCTGTGTATCTGACTTTCCAATAACAGAATAAAATAAATCTTAAAAAAAAAAAATACACATGGAGCTATTCAAGAACAGTAACCTATTTACAAATTGATAAAAAAAAAAATAGTTATTATCCATCCAGCAAATGAGGAAGCATGACCCACTTTGCCTGCTGAAGCACGGGGGGGCGGTATCCTAGAAGACGTGCTGAGAGGCAGAGGGGGCACAGAAGATACCTGCACTCGGGGTGATGAGCCTGTGGACAGGCCAGGTCTGGGGAATAGGGAAGGAAGGCACTGGAAATGACGCAGGGGCCAGTCTTGGGGTGGCATGGAAATGACTCACACAGATAGTGACCGTGGCCACATGGACACTCAGCTATAGACTGAATCACCTCATCTGTCCTCGGTTCAGCCAGCCAGCCACTCCTGGCTGTACTGGCTCTGGAATCACCATCAGCCAGCAAGATGAGGCTTAGTCACTCTGTCACCACCACCTCACCTCCATGACCTCCACTGAGCCTGGGTGATGCTCAGCTACACACTTCTAGGTGCAAGAGAAAGTGGACATAGATGTGTGGCCCAGCCGCCTTGCCGATCTGGTAGGACTGGAGCAGTGTGCCCAGTCTGGGCACAGAGGAGACAGGCTGCAGCTTCCTGTGTCTGGCCCTAGTGGATTTGGGTAGGGGGCTGCCAGCAGCCAGCACCCTCTGGTTCCCTTGGCATTACTGGCAGCCTAGCCTGGCACCCAACCAAGTGTCACAGCCCTGTCTGCTCCTCTAGGCCCAGGGGCGGATCTTTGGGAAGCTGAAGGAAGAGAATTTCTTTAACCCCAAGGAAGAGGTGAAGCTGGAAGCCCACATCCGCGTGCCCTCTTCCACAGCTGGCCGGGTGATCGGCAAAGGTGGCAAAACCGTAAGTGTGCGTGCTTCCCGCCCACGTCGCGCCCCTCAGGCTGCCTTGGCTTTGTCCCGGCCAGCGAATGGTCAGGGTGTTCAGCTGACGAACCAAAGGCTCTTTTGGCCTCTGAGCTCTGTGAGGCAGGAGAATGCCAGCAGCACTGTGGGGGCCCCATGCTGAGCCCAGGCCCCCAAAGCCTCGCCCTGTGTCCAGCAATCCCCATCTTGGCTCCACAGCAGTGGCTGAAGGCCTCTGCTCCATAAAGACACGGAAGCCGCCTCCTGCCTCCTTCCTGCCTGCACACAGCAGCCAGTGGCGGTGCCAAGGAGGTCGGGCAGACATGGAGCTTCACGCCCCACTGCTTGCAGGCCTAATGTCCCACACACTATCCTGAAGGATGCCCCAGGACCCTGACTCAGCCCTGTCTGTGAGCTGGCTCCTGACCCCTCTGTCTGCAGTAGTGGGGTTCGGGGGGGGGGGAGAAACACAGTCTGCTTCCCACCATTCCCAGGGAACCTCAGAGTACCAGAGTGTGAGCCCTGAAGCTCGTGGGAATCAGAGAGGACTTGCCCCCCCGGGTGGGATTCTGGAGTCCTGAGAGAGTAGACAATATGTGTAGGGCTTTGACATTTCCAAAGCCAAGTTCTAGACATGGTAAGTCAGCTTTAGGTGAGAGAAGAGTCTCATGGACTGTAGTCTGCTCCCTACCACCAGCACTGAGTCAGCCTCCCAGGGCACACACGCCGAGTCTAGGCAGCAGCGAACACACAGACCATGAGGGCCTCCTGTCCCCAGCCCTCCCATGTCCTTGATTATTCTAGAGACTGCCTCCTGCCACAGGACCAGAGGCTGGGCATTCCACCACCACCTTGTGGGAGAGAAGCATGGGCTGGAGGCTTCCAGGAGGTGGTGGCCAGGAGCAGCATCAGCATGACATGGAGGAGGCTGCTGGTCAGCTAGGAGGAGGGGCAGGCTCGCAGGCCCCCAGAGCGCTCGTCCAGGGCAGTGGCTGGGGTCCCAGGGTCGCTGAGAGCCTGTGCGCAGACAGGAGACGCCCCTCCGCCGAGCCAGGGAATCCAGGCTCCAAGGTCGACCCCTGTCATCAGACCTCCCAGGGCACAGACCTAGAAGGTCCCATGTGGCCAGAGCCCACTGTCCCTTCTGTCTTTGCAGGTGAATGAACTGCAGAACTTAACCAGCGCAGAAGTCATCGTGCCTCGTGACCAAACACCAGATGAGAATGAGGAAGTGATTGTCAGAATTATCGGGCATTTCTTTGCTAGCCAGGTACCTGAGCAGTGAGGGCCCCGTCCCTGGTGCTCCGTCAAGCAGCCACAGCCTGCACAATCCTCCCTTCCCGACACTCCACTGGAGCCTTTCCCAGCTTGGCACAAGGACTGTCCACAGAGCGGTGGCAGGGTATGCCACATCTCCCTGGACTGTGTCCCGGTGTGCCAGCAGAGCTGAGACAGGGTTCAGACTGCCTGGGCCCCCCGAGCTGTCCCAGGGCAGCTTCCCTCAGCATCCCAAGGCCCCCTCCCGACCTTTCTCAGAGGCCCTCACCTGGAGGCTGCAGCGTTGCCTGGCAACCAGGCCCTCACTGTGCTGGTTCGCTGTGTGCCACACTGGGTCCCCACTTCTGGTTCCTGTCCTCCAAGGCCCACCCCATCAGAATGCAGCCCTCAGTTTGCCTCTCGGCTGGCTCAGCCTGGTTCTCTTTGTTGCTTACATGAGAGAGCAGCCTGGTCTTGTCATAGCCCTGCACGCTCCCACGGCATGGCTCACACTTAAGGATTCTCGGCCAGGCAGCCCACCGTCCCTGCCCAGGCACCCACCTGGCCGCTGCTCGCCATGCCCAGTGCCGTCCGAGGCTCCTGCCCCTCTTCAGGCACAGGCCCTGGCCTCCAGCTGACTCTGCGCCTGCAGAAGGTGGGGCAGGGTGCTGGTAGGTCAGGTCGGGGTTCCCATGCTGGCCCCTGCCACACGTGTTAGCATTTCTGGGCCCAGTTTCTTCCTCCTCCCCAGCAGACACCTGCTCTCGTCCCTGCTGCTCTGGGAGGTGGACTATGAGCAGAGCTGGGAGATGTGGGGGACATTTCTGCATCCTGGCCTGAAACCTGCTGGAGCACGACCCCTTAACTCCTGCCAGCACCCTGGGGTGGGAAAGGGAGACTTCTACCACTTACTTCTAGGCAGAAAAGTGTGCCTCCCCCACCCCCTTCCCTCCCTCCCCCAGCCCCCAAGCATGGCACGGGGGTGGGGGGGGGGGATATATGCCCCTTTCCTCAGCCTCCTGTCCTCCCTACCCCCCAAGTCCCAGAGCGCCCCCTACTGCTTGTCCTTAGCACTGGTTCCTTTCTCCTGCCCCCTCCCCGCCCTCTCTCCCTCGCTGCAGACGGCACAGCGCAAGATCAGGGAAATTGTACAACAAGTGAAGCAGCAGGAGCAGAAGTATCCTCAGGGAGTGGCCCCACAGCGCAGCAAGTGAGGCTCCCACAGGCACCAGCAAAGCAACGGATGAATGTAGCCCTTCCAACACCTGACAGAATGAGACCAAACCCAGCCAGCCAGACCGGGAGCAAACCAAAGACCATCCTGAGGAATGAGAAGTCTGCCGAGGTGGCCGGGGCCCCGCAGAGGCCCTGCTCCCAGGGGCTGCAGCGGCGGGCCAGGAGGCTCCTCCAGGCCCCCGGCCGGCCCTGCCCGCCAGCACCTGCCCAGGGCCTCTGCGGGCTTCCCAGCCATCCACTTCACCATCCATTTGGATCTCCAAAACTCCCACGACGCTATCCCTTTTAGTTGAACTAACATAGGTGAACATGTTCAAAGCAAAGCAGATTTGACAGCCTTTTCTTTTTTCGGGGAACACTGTCTCTACAATCTGTACATATTAGAAGGGGGAAGATATTAAGATGTGGCCTGTGGGTTCACAGGGTGCCTGCAGCGTTAATATATTTTAGAAATAATATATCAAGTAACTCAACTAACTCCAATTTTTAATCATTTTTTTTTTCTTCTTAAAGAGAAAGCAGGCTTTTCTAGACTTAAAGTCTTTCTTTGGGAGGTTGAATGGAGTAGTAAGGAACTTGGAGGCCACACGAAATTCACCTGGGGAGGAATCTCCCCGAGGACACTCCCAGCAGTCCTGGACCACCTGTGTGTGTCAACAGAAGGGATACCGTCACTTTGAAGAGGAAACTCTTCATCCCTGTCTAGCTCACACACCATTTCTCTTTGCTTCACAGGTTTTAAACTGGTTTTTTGCATACCGCTCTATAATTCTGTCTCTCTCTGTTTCTCTCTCCCGCTCCCCTCCACCTGCCCCTCTTTTCCATCCCCATTCTGTTGAATGCCCTCACCCCTCTGTCTCAGACCCCTGTCCCTATGCACCCCCACCCCCAGGCAAAGCAGTGCTCTGAGTATCACATCACACAAAAGGAACAAAAGCGAGACACACAAACCAGCCTCGACTTACACTTGGTCACTCAAAAGAACAAGAGTCAGTGGTACTTGTCCTAGCATTTTGGAAGAGGAAAAACAGGAACCCACCAAACAAAGAAAAATTCCACAAAGAAAGAATGTATTTTTGTCTTTTTACATTTTGGTGTATAAGCCATCAATATTCAGAAAAATTTTTCTTTTAAAAAAAATGTGGAAAAAAATAGCAATTTACATAAGGTTGTTGGCCCAGGGCGTTAAATTTACAGATTTTTTTAAACTAGAAACACACACACAAAAAAAGCTACCTCAGGTGTTTTTACCTCAGCACCTTGCTCTTGTGTTTCCCTTAGAGATTTTGTAAAACTGATAGTTGGAGCATTTTTTTATTTTTTTAATAAAAATGAGTTGGAAAAAAATAAGATACAACTGCCAGCCTGGAGAGGGTGACAGTCCAAGTGTACAACCGCTGTTCTGAATTGTCTTCCGCTAGCCAAGAACCTCGATGGCCTTCTTTTGGACAAACCTTGAAAATGTTTATTTAAAAAAAATGACTAAGAAAAACAGAGAGAGAAAATATTGGAGATGTCCAGAATTCCAATAGGGTACGCGCCATTAGGGCTTTTTGCGCTAAAGGATGAACATGACTGGTTTATGTGAACAAGCCATTATACCACCAGACTGCAATGCCAGTTTCCTCTACTGCAAACAGTGTTCTGTGACAAAAAAGGAAAAAAAAAATATATCCAGCTAACAAGATCCTGGCTTCATGGTGTCTTTTTTTTTTTTTCTTTTTACAAAGCGTTGCCTTATCCAAAGGCATTGGCCGATCCCAGCTAATAGCAACATGGGGAGCCGGGGCAGCACCGGGCAGCTCCTCTCTGCGGAAGGTCTCGGGAAGAAACCAAGCTTCGTTAGTGGTTTCCAAAGCACAGTCCTGGACCAGCAGTGTCAGGATCACGTGGGAACTGGATGGAAATGCAAAATCTTGTGGAAGTGATCATTCTGGGGCTGAGGGCCAGTATGTTTTTCAGCCAGCCCCCAGGGCACCCTTGTGTACACAAAGGGTTAAAGCCCCAGAACCCTGACTGCCTGTGTTAAGCCAGGGAAGAGGTGAAGGCCACTTCAGGAAGTTCTTGGAAACATGAGTTACAAATTTATTTGGCTACAATTCTTTTTTAAATCAAACAACTTTTCATAATGCGTATTTTCTATGAACTTTGAGTCCTCTCCAAAACCAGCTACGTTTTCAGTATTCCAGACCGCCAGTGGCCTGGCAGGGCAGGTGCTGTCCTTCACACCTCCTCCACGAACGCACTGTGGAAAGTCTGTTGCCTGTATAAGCTGATGCGGCAGACTGATGGGGTCTTCCACAGATGGTGCCCAACAATCTTGGTAACCTTGATCTAATACTTGGATGAGGTGGTCAGTTGGGCATCTTGGGGGACTGTTCAGGTGAAGATTTTCACTCTGCTAGTGAGCAAGAGAGCTGGGGCCAGGGGCAGACCAGGCAGGACAGGACCTACACGACCTGTCGGCCTGCACGTGAGCTGGGTTGGGGGAGAACCAGGCTGGGCTAACCAACTGTACCCACTGGTGCATGCATGAACCAGAGTAAGTGCAGATTGGTTGTGCTTTGCAGCAGCACGAGCTGGCCAATGCCCGGACTGCAGGCAGGTCCCATCATCCGGACTGCAGAACCACCAGGTAAGTGGAAGATCTGGGCCTGGGAATGATTCCAGTAGAGAAGCAATGAGCACCTCTGCTGGGCTGCAGTTCCTACTTGTGAGCTGAACATAGGCCTGGCTAGAAGGGTGGTGGCACCTGCTGGCATGTTATGTTGGATAGTGGGATTGGTTGGATTGTCCTAGCTTCAGTGTCCACTGACATGTACAAGAGTTGAATGGGATGTGGGACAGACTGGATCAGTCTGCCACACATACTGGCAAGCATAAGAACCAGGGATGGGGGTAGGCCTGGTGAGGGCTATTTGGGGCCGCTCCAACTAGGCTGCAGTTCCCACTGGTGTACGTCAGGGCTGAGCTGTATCACCCAGACTGGCTTACACAAGAGGTGGGGCTGGAGACAGAACTAACCTAGCAATTACAACTACCAGTGTATGTAAGCTGATGTGGGTGACAGACTGAGCTGGACCCAGTACTGACAAGCTCACACAAATCAGGTCTGGCATCACTTCAAATGAGATTTCTTTGGGGATACCCCCAACTGAACCACTGGACTCAGAACTCCAACCATGAGAAGAAACAGAGAACCTGAGGTCTAACCGTGGAGTGCAGGTGTCAGAGCTGGGTCTCCTCCATGGCTTAGGTGGAGCAGTGGATGGATACACACACCAGGGGAACTGCAGCCTAAGCGGAGTTGATTAGGCTATTGCACTGGGCCCTAATTTTAATTTTAAAAATGTACTAATTCAAAGGACTCTGACGTTGCTTTTCTGGCACTTTCCTACATGTATTTCCACTGGCGTCTCACGCAAAGGGCTTAATGTTCAAGTTTTGAGAAACACCAGGTTCACACAACTCATGCTCCTCCTCCATCACACTGGGCTGGGGAACCTTTCGTTTTATAATCTACAGAGCAACAACAGAACATGTAGGAAACGTAAACGCTGATGTTTTCAGCAAGGGTCAGAAAGGCACAAGCCTGTCTCCCTAGATTTAGATACATGAACCTCACACAGCCTTACAGTTCTCTTTTGATGATGGGAGGGGCGTGTCACAAGCTTTATAGCTTTAAAATAATTTGGATCTTGCTGTCAGATTCATCAGAGCAGTTTTACAGCCCGTGGATACTGATCCATTAATGGATGGAAACAAATTGTAAGTACAATATTCTTTTCAAAACATTGTTCATGAGCTGTGTCCATCTAAAATCACAGGATATGTGTGTGTGTGTGTATTTATCCAGTTGTCACAACATCAAATACACCTATTTCCATGAGTTGTAATCAAAGCAACTGGAAGGCCACTGAATTAAAGATATTTTATTGGCAAATAGATAAAAAATAGATAAAACCAACACCTACTCCAATACACTCAAACCTCATCCTTAGATATATATTAGGTAAATTAAAAGAAAAAAATATCAAAGCAATACAGCCTGCTAGACCCTCAACTCACAAATAAGTACCAAAAGTTTGGTAGGATATCAGGTGCCTAAAAGTTATTCTCAAAGAAACTGTCACAGAGAAATTATTTCCAATTAGTTCACAATTTAAATAATGTAGCCTCACTACAGTACTAAGGTTATGACAAAGTTTCTCTAGATTGCTTCCTTATCTGCTTCTGAGGTTCTGTGCCCAGGACGCACTCTTCCGGCGCCCACACCTTGGTCCCAGCACCAAGCAGCTCTTTCCCAGTGCAGGCAAATACCCATCAGTGGACATGGTATTTCCTCATTTACACTTGGGATTGCAGAGAAGGAAAAAAGATGAGCTGTCCTAAGAGCCTTAAGTAACTGAGGTAGACTCTGGGGCTCCCAAGAACACCTCCTTTCATGCCCGTGCTCTGCTTCTCTCCCACCCTATCAGGCTCTGGTACAAACTCAAGCAATGAGAAACTTGCCAACAGTGTCATTTTTTTGAGCCTTCATCAAGTTAAAACTAGGGACTACTTACAGTAATTTACTGTACCTTTATCAGGCCCCAGACTGCTGCAGTTGGGGGGAGGGGGGAGGGAATGAGAGTCAATGTGATATAGTTGGTTAAGCTACTGCCTGTGTTGCCAGCATTTCATGGGGGTACAGAGTGGTGGTCCAGCTGCTACACTCCCAATTCAGCTCCATATTTCTGGCCCAGAAAAAGCCCCTGCTCTCTAAATGGGAAACCCAAAAGCCCGTGGCTCCAGGATGGCTTACCCGTGGCCATTGCAGCATCTGGGGAGTAAATCAACAGACAAAAGATCTTTCTCTCCTTCTGTAACTCTGATATCTAAATAAATCAATGTTGAAAAGAAAAAAAATCACTAGCTCTCCTGCTGCTAAAAATCAGCTGCCATTGTGTTTTGTTTTTAAAACTTAGTAAGAGAGGCAGATCAGATTTACAGAGAAAAGGAGAGATAGGAAATATCTTCCATCTGCTGGTTCACTCCCCAAGTGGCTGCAATGGCTGGAGTCAAGCCGGTCCAAAGCTGGGAATGAGGAGCTTTTTCCAGGGCTCCCACAAGGGCACAGGGTCCCAAAGTTTTGGGCCATCCTCAACTGTTTTCCCAGGGTACAAGCAGGGAGCTGGATGGGAATTGGAGCAACCAGAACATGAACTGGTGATCCGGTGGTTCTAGGATGAGGATTCAGCCATTATCAATCACCAGATCCCTCAGGGCCTACACAAAGCCCAGGCTTCGATTCAAGAACTCTTGGCAAAGCTCAGTGGCACTTTCTAGTTTACCACTCTGCTCTGACCATGTTTGTTCTGTTATGGGAAAGCACTGGAAGTGCCCCCGAGTCCACTTCAATGAAAAACTCCATGAAAAATGTGCTTCACGAGCCCATCACCCGTTACATGAACCCCCAGCAGCCTTCACTCAGGTGCCATAGAGGCAGTCATTCTTAGCAAGACTACCCAGCATGGCACAAGGTACTGAATTCTCAGAGTAACAAGTAACCAAGGTACTGAATTCTCAGAGTAACATTGCTGCCCAATGGGAACCAGCTAAAACAATGCTGTCACCAAGTCTCTCACCTTCCTCCTCCTTTGGTTATGCCAGTTCCCAGTACTCACTGGCACAGCTCTGGGAACTCCAAGAAAAGGAACAGGCCTGCAGAGATGGCCTTCGGTGTCTCCTAGGCTTGAAGGAGATTTAGCACAACAACTCTCCCTTTCACCATCCTCCACCTACCTGGCCTTTAGCAGGGCCAGCAGGCAGGCACAGCAGTGTCCGTCCACATCACAGCCCACCCTCGCCCCCTCCCCCCACTCCTATACCAACATCTTTTGAAGGCTTAGGGAGCAGCAGCTGTAACAGCTCCACTCAGCACGCCTCTGGGACCAGCACCCTCCAGAGTGCAGACCTGCAGAGGCACAGCCAAAACACGCCCCATTCTTCCAGTTCTACCTCTCGCCTTCATGTGCCAAAATAAGTTTGGGAGGTCCAAATAAGGAAAGGATTAGAAATCATTTCAGAATATACTTTTCAGGTTCTGCCAGACAACCTTTTATTACATTGAAAAGCATCACTAGGCACTAGATCTTGCAAAATATGTTCTGACTCTAAACTTTCTGAAATTGAAAATGTATAACCACATCTGTGAGGTTTTCAAACAAAAGTTCAATACAAACTTTCATATGCAAAATAGATTATTGTATAACTGGCAACCTCAGAGCCAAGTACTAAAATGTTTTCCACAAATTTTAGTGGCAATAGAGTGGGAAGATGCTAATCTTAATGTGTACAAAATTTAATTTTGACCTAAAATATAGTAGGCAAAAAAATTCTGAGGAAAGACAGGTTTAAATTGAATAGTATCTTTCTAAATTAGTAGCTTATGCCAGACTTGACAATTCTGAGGTTTCTACTCTAACCAGTTCTGGGACGAAAAGGAAGATTTAGGGTATACAGTTATTTCAAATCCAGTTTCAAGAGCAAGTCAAGTCATCCCATTTCCAGAATCGGCAGTCTTTAAGACGACCATCCCACTTCTGAAGACGCGTAGATGGCCAGAGGCCCCTGGCTGCAGTCTCGCTTTTCCATGACCCTGTGCCAATGCTGTGGTGTCGGACTTCCTCTAAAATGCTATCAGAGTCCCATACCATAGCTTTTAAATTTCTCCTGGCATTTTCAAGTCTCAAGAAAAATAAAAATACACAACCAAACAAACAACCCCCCCCCCCAAGATCTCCAGCTTCAAGCTGGCAGCTAGTACTCCAGGTTAGAGGACGTAATGACCACTTCCTGCGTCCACACTGAGTCCCCTCCTAGTCTCCAGCAGGGAGTGGCAGCTTGATTAACATTCTTTTCAGAAATAAATAGTTTAACAAGTAATTTAGAATTAACTGTAAAAGAGCAGTGGAAAATAGCCACTGCCCATTATGCTTTCAAATGAGTGAGCAAATGAATACACGTGAACAGACACACAGAATGAAACAATTCATAGAATAAATCCTGCATTTCCCACATTCATAGGGAAATAAATGCTTTATAAAAATGTATGTATTAGCGTTTGTTCTTGTGTGGGTTGTGTAGTCCAGGGCTCTGAGAGCAGGCACGGCCCTCGGCACCCCAAATCAGGACTGTGTGCAGAGGGGGGCCTTCACGCTCTGACAGCCCAGTACCTGTGAGGGAACGACAAAGTGATGCAGGGACCTTGAACCCACAATGCATGAGGTATATGGAAACGTCCATGAAAGACCATCAGCAGCGACGGGGACCAGGGGGGCATCTCACAGCAGCTGCTGATGGAGGATTTCCCACACCATCTTCTTCCGGAAGAGAGGCATCTGGTGCTGCAAAGAATCCCACAGGCACATGTTACACAGGAACGTGCGCAAGGACAGCCCGGGGAGATGTGGGCTTCCTGTGCGCCTTCGCATTTCACATCACGGCTTCTGAAGCCATATTCAGGGTTTATAATACTTATAATTACAAGTACCATAACAAGCAATTTCACATGTTAGGGAAAATCAAAGCAGGGTGCAGAATTACACAATATAATAACAATAACTTCACAAAACATACAACAAAACCAGCAACGTCCAAGGAGTGGCACAATAGGCAGTTTTTCAACGTAGATGCATTTTCAAAACATTCTGAAATAATCTTTTATGTAAGCAAAACAAAAATTTCAAGAAATTAAATCTAAAAATCTGTTGTAAATGTCCATTGCCAATTCTGTTGAAAGAGCAACTTCTATTGAAATCCCTTGCCATTATGTGCAAATAATCAATCAATTTATTGCAATTTAGCAACATCAAATAGTTTCTTAAAATATGTTATCACTTTGATAATCACTACACTGACCAATTTTCAAAGCAGTAACACACAAGACAATACCAAAATTATCTAATTTAACTACTTACTTTCTGAGGAAATCAGATATTTACAACCTTGAAGTACAACTGCTGTATCACTGAAATTAATCGGATAAACCAGTTTCCTATTAACCAGTAATTTCCTCGGGATGAGGGACAACAAAAATTCTTAATACATGATTCTTAAAAATCTCTGAAATAGTTCCAAACAGTCAATAAAAATTTGCATGTTTACTTAGTAAAACTGCTGAAACTATCCAAAAAGTGACTATTTAAACTCAACTCGCCTTCATGCACCCTGGGAACCCTGGATAGCTTATGGTGCGCAAGAGCTCGGAACAGAGTCCTGCCGCTCAGTAAGTCCAGGCTGTACGGCAGTTACAGCTACCAGAGGTCTGCTTCAAAGTATTTTTAATAGAGATTCCAATTCACAATGGAAGCCTGAGCAACCACTGTTATGGACATAAATTCTCAAGAGCCCCAAAATAAGTAAGCTTTCTCTCAAATGTAGAGCAATGCGAGAACCCACGCGTAACCAGAACACAGCTCTACCTTAGCCCTGCAGCTTCAGGGCTCCCCGAGTCTGGCTCTTCCCCTATGGTTCGTTAAGTGATCACATATTCACTCTTAGCTAAACGTGTAAATACATGAGCCAGTGAGCCAGAGTTCAGAGACAGGCAAGCTGTCAAAAGACTAAGATAAACTCAAGGGCAAGTGCAGAAACAAGCCCTAACCTGGGGCCCAGTGCTGTGGCCTAGAGGCTAAAGTCTTCTCCTTGAATGCGCTGGGATCTCATATGGGCGCCTGATCTAATCCCAGAAGCTCCACTTCCCATCCAGCTCCCTGCTTGTGGCCTGGGAAAGCAGTCGAGGACGGCCCAAGGCTTTGGGAACCTGCACCTGCATGGGAGACCCGGAAGAGGTTCCTGGTTCCCAACTTCAGATCAGCACAGCACCAGCCGTTGCACTCACTTGGGAAGTGAATCATCGGAGGGAACATCTTCCTCTCTGTCTCTCCTCTTCTCTGTATATCTGACTTTGTAATAAAAATAAATAAATCTTAAAAAAAAAAAAAAACAACCCTAAGCTGACAACAGGGCTATGGCCAAGTGTGAGTACTGAGAGCTTAATGTGTACCAGGCACTTTCACAAGTGCTTTACATTTATCTTAGTAACAAGTAAGGAGATGAGGAGTCTTCACTTACCTGAGTAAATGTGATAGGTTTATCCCTAGAAATATAATCTGCATATTTACAAGTAAACATTCCACAATCACTTCCATTCAACTGTTGAGGAATCTCCTAAAATTGCAAAGAGAGGAAGGTATGAAATATCACCTAATTCAAATTTACTGGACTTTGCAAGAATTGCTGTGGATAAGGAACATTATAAAGGTAGAGAGTAAATCTGCCATTAAACAAACACAAGTAACCTTAACTCTGTGTGCGTAAAAACCCAACCATAACATAACATGAGGAAACTGACCCTACAGAAAACATTTTATTGATCGAAAGAGAAAAGCAAAATGTAGAATTCCATCTCTCAAATCTCACTCCACGCAGTTTAAAGGCAGATTATCAGGAGTGGGACTACTACTCTGCATAATTAAATATGGGACAATCAGAAATATGCTTCAACCACAACTAGCCTGCTTCAATACAGCACAGACCTCAATATGGGATGCAGGTAGCCCCAAAGCAGCCATGAGGACTTAAAAAGAGATACATTTTCAAACCTTCAAAGAAATTCAAATCTGGTGAGACACAAAAGTTCTTCACAATCACCATACTTGATTTTGGTGACCCATGGTCATGGCCTGGAATGCTTAAGATCTGAATAAATACCTAGATAAATCCTACACTAAAACGTTAAACTTGCATTAGCACCAACCAGGAAAAGTAACTGTTTCAGATTTACTTATTTTTTAATTTTCTAAGAGACGACCAGCACACTTTACATGTGCAGCAAGACTAAGCAAACATCTTGATAAAATTACTGGCTAAAGGCTTAGGGGTGTGTCGTCCTTATGCTGTACACTTTAAGACACTACACGACTAAGCGAGTAAGCAAAAGGAGAGGGAAAAAAAAGTCGAATAACATGATACTGTCAATCAATGCAACAAAATAATTCCAAAACAGACATCACTTACATGTGGCTTCATGCTGTAGTGGGTCCACTCTAAAAGATTCAGATCAATGTTTCTTTTGGTCTTACTTTCATCCTGTAAATACTGACTAAAAAACAACAAAGAGGCAATATATTAATGAATCCTAAATTCTGGGGAATCTACCTATAAAGATGAACAAGAACTGGGTGATGTTTAACCAGAAAGCCATTCTCAAATCCATATCCAGTACATTCTGTTTTTTTTAATATTTATTCATTTTTATTGGAAAGTCAGATACACAGAGAGGAGGAGAGACCGAGAGGAAGATCTTCCGTCCGCCGATTCACTCCCCAAGCGGCCACAACGGCTGGAGCTGAGCTAATCCAAAGCCCAAAGACAAGAACTTCTTCCAGGTCTCCCACGCAGGTGCACAGTCCCAAGGCTTTGGGATGCCCTCAACTGCTTTCCCAGGCAACAAGCAGGGAGCTGTATGGGAAGCAGGGTCACCAGGATGAGAGCTGGCACCCATATAGGATCCTGATGCATTCAACATGAGGACTTTAGCCGCTGGGCTATTGTGCATGGGCCCCCAGTATCATTCTTTACTATTTATTTATTTATTTGTGAGAGTGCATGGGAATTTCCATCTGCTGAGCTACCCCCTAAATGCTTGCCATGGGCATCAACTAGAAGCCAGGGACAAGAACTTAATCTGGATGTCTCAAGTGAGAGGTAAAAGCCCAATCACTTGCGCCATCATTGCCACCGCCTAGGGCTTATATCAGAAGGTATTTGAAGTCACAAATGGAGCTGGAGTCACAAGTGCCATTGGGTGCTAAATCCAGGATTCAGGCATCCTAACCAACACAGGAATCTTACCCATTAGTGCAAATACAAACCCCACATATCCAGTAGCTTTTTAACTATGCAGCTACTTTGTTTTATAACTTTATTGAAGTTTTTAATCCAGTTATAAAAAAATTACACATGCATTTTAAAAAATGAAGATATATAATACAACATAAAAAAAATAAGACTTTAGGGCCCAGTGCCGTGGTCTAGCGGCTAAAGTCCTTGCCTAAAAAATCTTAAAAAAAAAAAAAAAAAGGAGAATGGCCCTAGATAGGATAAGCCATTCAAAACAAAGATGGCTAGGCAGGGAAGAAGTATAAATTCAACTAACACATGGGTGGGGAGATCTGCATTTCTGTAAGCAACATAAAAATCTATAGTATAATTCCTATACAGAATTTCTAGGCACGTGACAATATAAATGTATACACATGTGCACATGTATGCATGTGCACATTTTATATACATTTAACACAGAAACATCAGAAGCATCACAAATAATTTGGTTTATCATGTTTTTCAATTTGGCCTTCAAGATAAATAACTACAGATAAAAATGGTCACTTACATGAAAACATTAAAAGAATTTTACCTACTTAGGACTAATCATAAGTTTCTTCACAAGATTCACATAACAACCTCATGTATCCTTAGAAAAGTTAAATAAAGGAACCTATATTTGCTTCGAGTGAGCAAGAGATTCAAAGTGGACTCCTCTTAGTGACCAGCTTCCTCTAGGAAATTCATGTTACCATTTTACAGAGCTAAGAATCTAGCCTTCAAAGGCTGGCTGGTATCTAGCAATTACTGCAATAGCTGCAGTTTGTTATTCATAGTCCAAAAATACCACAAAGAAAATAACAAATAAATATTTCATAGTGTTATCACTGTGGCACAGCAAGTAAAGCTGTGCTCAAATTAAACCTAATTTGGGCCTGGCAGCATGGCCTGGCACCTAAAGTCCTCGCCTTGAACGCGCTGGGATCCCATTTGGGCGCCGGTTCCGATGACTCTGCTTCCCATCCAGCTCCCTGCCTGTTGCCTGGGAAAGCAGTCGAGGGCGGCCCAAGGCTTTGGGACCCTGTACCCGTGTGGCAGACCTAGAGGAAGTTCCTGGTTGGAAAAGGTTCCTGGATCCTGGCTTCAGATCGGCACAGCACCGGCCATTGCGGTCACTTGGGGAGTGAATCATCAGATGGAAGATCTTTCTCCCTGTCTCTCCTCCTCTCTGTATATCTGACTTTCCAATAAAAATAAATAAATAAATAAATCTTGAAGAAAAAAAAATAAGCCTAATTTAACCAAAAATGACTCAGCCCAGGAGCAGTGATGCAAATAAGACAAGGAAGGACAGGCTAAGCCTGGTACCCTAAGGCAGGAGCAAAACCACACAGCTGTCTCAGAGCTGTCTGTGCTGTCAGACCCCTGAAGGAAAAGAAGATGACTGTATTTTAAATTAATTTTAAATTTAATTTTTCCCTGGGTTCCATGAGATAAATCCAGCTATCATTGGAGACATGGAGTAGATGTCAAATTTTAGAGGACTAACACTTCTCAGCCAACATTTTTTTAGGACACTTCAAATAACATTATCAATCCATGAGGGTTCATTTAAATCACAGGATTTTAACAAGATATTTTACAGTAACACGTGATGAACTTGTTTACAATGATGCTACCAAATATGATCTCAAAGGTCAGATATATGTCATACTTAGATTAAAAAAAAGGATTTAAACTAACTCTTGAATTACTTGGTAGAGAACCTTAACTGTACATTAAGACAAGACTATCATCCAATATTTCTTAGGATTCTTAATAGAGAAAAGGTCAACTAACAAGGGGGTAACGGGTCAAGCCTTTCAACCTTTACTTACAGGAGAATCTCACAGATCCTGTGGCCCTTTTGTCCCATCGAATCCAGATATTTAAGACACTTCTTCCTTAGGTCCATCACCTAAAATGGAAAACTGCATCATCCAAAAACATCTTAAATACAGTAAGAAGTAAGAATTTCATTTCCCAAATGAAAATCATCTTTTTCACGAATGGACTTCAATGATACAGTCTTTCGTGTTAAAAGTTACAATACATCACGTTATACATTTCTGTTCCTACAGAAAAGTCTAGAAACGAATTCATCAAAGTACTGGTGGACCTCTCAATGGGATTTTTCCTTCTTTATTTTTTGCTTTTATAATAAACCTGTGTAATAGGCAATGTGGTTTCTCAAAGAGCTGGGGCAGACTGCATGCCTGCCTTGGTGTCATTCACCGGTCTTTCATTCTAGAATTTACACCCCAGGTTGTCTTGCCTTTGATAAGACATACCCAGGCTTTTGATCATAATCTGAGATTTACACCCTGGGCTTCCATGATTTTTGCCTTGGGATTGAACTGAGCCATGCTCCAAGCATTCTGGGGTCTGCAGCCCATAAATACCTTGTTGAGGGACTTCCTCAGCTACCCTAATTCTGTGAGTCTAACACCCTCAGAAGACTCTCTTCACGAAGCTGCTGATGTGATCCAATGGGCAAAGACACCTCCTATGATGCCAACATTCCGTATGAGCACTAGTTCAAATCCTAGATACGGACTGTCTGACAGTGTCTGTACCAGCAACGTCGGGGCACTTAAATAACAGACTGACGGAATCACGACTCCTTATGAAGAACTAGAGTAGCAATGTGGGGGAAATCAGTTGGGGGTGGGATTGGGGGGAACCCCCCATAAAATTCAAAGCATTCAAAATAAAATTTTTTTTTAAATCCCCCCCCCCAAAAAAAAAGCTGAATGCAAGCTCCTCAAGTACAGGGACTTATCTTCTAGCTTTTTAAGCTGTTCAGCTCAAGAACTCAGAAGACTCTGCACAGCATGCCCTTAAACATAAGTTCCTGGTCTTTTCACTGCACGGAAGAATAGCCTGTATTATTTAAGACAACAGTCTTCACCCAACTCCAGTAACAAACCCTTCAACTTACCACCAGGCTCCAATGTACCTTCCGATGAATGGGCACCAGAATAAGTTCCTGTTCAAAGAGATTTACCCCTTTGGTCCATCTTTTTACTGCTTGGTAACCCCCGGACTTTAATTTAGGATAGAAGAAAGTACTGAATGCATGGAGTACTGGATAGCCTTGTTTCTTATTTCTTTCTACCAGAAGATTCATATAAAAATTAATGACCTGTAAAACAGAGAGTATAAACTGGAATATAGAAAGTATATGACTTCTGGCTGCAAGGGAGGGTAACTGGGGCAACCCACCCTGCTGCCTTCTCCCCTTAATTAAACACCTCCATTGCCACAAAAAAAAAAAAAAAAAGAAAAGAAAAGAAAGAAAGTATATGACTGAAGGTGAATTTCTACCCAAGACAGGATGAATTAGAAGGTAAGAAGTTTAGAGAAAGGAAGGGAAGGAGATGAAAGAATTATCTATGCAAAAGAGGGAAAAACTGATCAGTGTTATGACAACTTAAGAAAGAATTAATGTGCTCTTACGAGGCATGAGTAACATTTAAGACAAACCAAGAGAAAGAACTGTACAATAATTACACAGTATGTAACTGTATCACAGAAAAAACAGGCAAAAATACAAAAAATGAAATCTTAGTATATAAAAATTATACCTTAGTTTAAAAAACACTAAAGAAAATACATTAAACATTAACATCTTATTTTTAGGGGGACTTTTGAACAGTAATTTGCTCTTCCTGTTTTTACTAAGTTTTTAAATAAAAATATATGACAGAAAACATGAAAGAAGAAATTCTAATTCTAAAATGGGCTATAAGTTAACTAGTTATGGACCAATGGGGAAGGATGGCAAACAGGGAGGGACTGAGCAGGTGGGGAAATCATCACAGAGAAAGTGTTAAGGTTGCTGTGCTTTGAATGTGTGTGGCGTTACGTACCTGCAGGGTATGCATCACACCCAGTGCACAAGGCCAAGATACAGGGTCTTTCGGAATTAAATCATGAATGTTCCATTCCGAAGAATGTGGTTTGTGCCTGAGGGGAGTGCCCAGTGCCTCTGTCCTTCTGTCATGTGAAGGCTAGTTGTTTGTCCTTCGTTCTAGCTAGTAAACAGGGACTAGACTCATAAGACACTGATCTTGGACTTTCCTGCCTCCATAATGGAAGCAACAAATTTCTATTATGTAAATTATGGAGTCTGTAGTATTTTGCTACAGCAGCAGGAATGGACCAAGATATAACGATATAACTCAAATTAAATAAGAAGACATACACTCATATATAGTAATAAATATATCCCATCATTACTGAAAAGGTAAAAGTTCCCAAAAGAAAACATCTGCAGAATCATCTGCTACATAGAAGGCTTATGAAGATACTACTGATGGGGCCCAGAGCAGTAGCCTAGTGGCTAAAGCCCTTGCCTTGCACATGTCGGGGTCCCATATGGGCACCGGTTCTAATCCCGGAATCCTGGTCACCTGCTTCCCATACAGCTCCCTGCTGTGGCCTGGGAAAGCAGTCAAGGACGGCCCAAAGCGTTGGGACCTTGCACCCATCTGGGAGACCCGGAAGAGGCTCTGGGCTCCTGGATTCAGATCAGCGCAGCTCCAGCCGTTGTGGCCGCTTGGGGAGTGAATCAATGGAGGGAAGATCTTCCTTCTGTCTCTCCTCTTCACTGTATATCTGGTTTTCTCATAAAAATAAAGTAAATCTTAAAAACAAAAAAGAAAGAAAATACTACTGAAGACTAGTAAAACAAGTTGTGGATGCAACTAGGCACAGATGCAGAAGAGAGAAACACTGCAACAAACAAGCAAAAGAAAGCTTTTTTAGGTTTAGGCTTTTCTTTTCTTCAAATAAAACTAAAAGTTGTTTTGTCAGCCTACTGAAATTGGACAGAAATCACTTTGGTCGGGATATGGTTAAACACAACCTGAAAGCCAAAGCAGGAAAAGTGGACATCTTACTTCATCATTGAGCCAGTGATAGTTCCTCAAGGTCTGGATGTCTCCTCGAGTAATTCGCAACTTGAAAGCACTGCTGAGGATCTCATCCTGGGGACCGTGGCCCAGGGCATTACTGATTTCTTTCTCCATGTCCTGAAGCATAAAATCCAAACATTACTATTTTACAACAGTTCCACTAACACATGCTCAGCCTGAGACTGAAAAACACTGCGCCTCACTGAAAACACCTGAGCCTTACAAAATACACTAGCATAGACCAACAAGCTTGCACAGTGAAAATACTCAAACTGAACTTGTTCAGGAACGTTAGTATCTCCTTATTAAATTGATGCTTTCATTACAATAAGGAATTGCGCAGTAATATTCTCACTTAAGCTATAAAACTCAATATATTAACCTAACTCAAATTACTTTTATCCAAATAGTTTTATTGCTTTCTCCCCTGAAAGTTGCAGTTTTACAATATAGATCATACTCCCTCCAGCTGCACATTCAACAGAAATAAGAGACATGCAATTAACAGCACTACTCATGACTCAGTCAGCAATAGGGGAGGTGCACAATATAAATAGAGTTAATAATTTTATCTGCCTTTACTTCCTTGTTTTCCATAGGTTTTTACCATTTTAAAATGTAATAATCAATGAAAACGACAGAGAACCACAACCACCTTAAAACAGCTGTAATGCACTTATTCTCCATGCCATAAACCCCGCTGTAAGGGCCACTACCTGTGACACCAGCATACAGTAATAATACTAGCTTGTCTTCCAGGTAGCCCATTTCCAATCCATTCCTCCCGAAGTGTCTAGGGAAACAAAAGATGGCCTAAGTACTTGAAACTCTGCCACCCATCATAAAAACTGAGTTCCAGGCCACTGGCTTTGGCTGGCTTAGCGCTAGCCTTTGCCACCATCTTGGAGTGAGCCAGGAGATGGAAGATGTCTTTCCCCTCTCTGTAAATTTATCTTTCAATTAAATAAAATAACAGATCTCTTAAAAAAAAAAAAACAAAATCCAAAGAGTGGACATTATGGCAGAGTAGGTTAAGGTGTCACACCCCATGCCAGTTTGAATCCTACAGACTACACTTCCAGTCCCACTTTCTCTTAATACAACCAAGGAGGCAGCAAGCCATAGTTCAAATTCTTAGCTCCCTAACATTCACAAGGGAAACCCTGATAAAGTTCTGAGTGCCAGGGTTTGAACTGGTTCTGCCTAACCGCTGTGGGCATCTGCAGAGTGAACCAGTGGATGGAAGATACCTGTCTTTCAACAGCAAATGGTAACAAATGTTAGAGGAGGTACAGTGGCATAGCAGCTAAGTCTCTGCCTGCAGTGCCAGCATCCCATGCGGGCACAGTACAAGTCTGTCCCAGCTACATCCCTTCGGATTCAGCTCTCTGCTTATGGTCTGTGAAAGCAACAGACTCTTGCACAAGTTGTTGGGCCGCTACATTCATATAGAGTCCTGGAGAAAGCTCCTGGGTCCTGGCTATGGACTGGTCAAACAAGCTATTGTGGCCATTTAGGGAGTGAATCATTTTGGGGAGTGAACCAGTGGATGAAAGATCTCTGTGTCTCTCGTTCTCTCTCGGTAACACCACCTTTAAAATGAAAATGTTTTAATTTTTTTTAATGTTTTAAAATACGTATTTATTTGATCTGTCAGGATTCCTTATAGATTGCTAATGATTAATGCAGCCAAAGTGACTGAACAGAACTTAACCTTGATATTTTTTTCCCCAAACTTTCATCTCTGATCTGGAGAAATTTCTCAAAACATTTATTAAACTTTAGAGGACAGGGTTATTTGGTAACACGGCTCTTATTCTGAGCAACAGTCAGTACCTCTGTAAGTTCAAGCAAGTCATCTGCTCTTCTGTCCCTGTCTTTGCTTGAGCAGTTCTTCTCCTTTGCCTCAAGTATGGACAGTCGCCTCCGGAGTAAGCCATTGTTTCCACTGCCCAGGCGAAGTCGGGCTGACACCTCTTCCGACAGGTCAGGTTCCAGCTGGTGTCCCCTCCTCTGATCAACAAAGTTTCTATATTCTATTGACATGTCTAATACTTTACATATCAACACATTTTACACAGGAAATAGAAAACACATTCAGCAGATTCCCCCCCAGATGAGTACAGTGGATCTACCCTACCTGTTCTGGCAGAGGAAAACAAATAAAGGCTCCAAAGCTAAGCCTCAGCGGCCAATACAGTTAGAAACCATGAAACAGAACGAATTATGTATCCTTGAGGTAGCAAAAGTGTTTTCAGTTCTCCTATCCCAATTAAAAATAATGTGACTAACATATAAAGAAAGTTTAACAGAGGCTGGCACTGTGGCATAGGGAATTAAGCTTTAGCCTACAGTGCTAGCATCCTATATGAGCGCTGGTTTGAATCCCACTGCTCCACATCCAATCCAGCTAGCTGATAAAGTGCATGGGAAAACAGCAGAAGATGGTCAAAATCCCCAGGCCCCTGTAGCTACATGGGAGACCCAGAAAAAGCACCAGACACCTAGCTTTGGACCAGCCCAGCTCAGGCCACTGCAGACATTTGGGAAGCAAACCAGCAAATGGAAGATGTCTGTCCCTCTGTCTCTCCTCTCTGTAAACCTCTCTTTGAAATAAAGGTAAACAAATATCTAATTTAAAAAACAAAAGTTTAACATTTAACGTACCAAAACCCATGACCTAAATACCATGAGAATCAGTCATTGCTAATAGTTATAATAAGAAGTCATATTTGATCTAAGAAGCCTGTATCACAGAAAATGTCACAAACAGGGGGGTTAAGCTGAACATAACAGCCACAGATTCTCAATCATGTCTGTGTGATGGGACCCCCACAAAGTACACAGCACGGCAGAGGGGCCTCTGGATTGCTGACCGTGTCCAAGTGCCCGGAGAGGGCGTGGAAGCTTTATGCTCCTTCTTGCATACCTCATCTTAGTATCTCTTACATCTGGCTATTCAACTGACTCCTTTGTAATATCCTTTATAATGGAAACAAGAAATAATGCATAAAGCATTAATATATCACTTAACTTATGCAGTCAACACCACTCAGGTCAACAAACAGAGGGATCAGCATCCTAGGAGCTCTGAGACATCTCCCTGTCACAACCTGCAGAACCCCAAATAATGGACTTGTCTCTTGGTAGACAAATTATGTTTAAATTTGGTTATTCAGAAATAGAGCTTTACACTAGATTCCACACTGATGTGAAAACACCTAGCCAGTATTCATCATTCTAGCTCTCTGCCAGGTAGAGTGCGTCTGGTCCTCCCTCGTAGCCTGAAACAGCACCATCACTACATTCAGCACAGATGGAAGCAGGATGGAGCTCATCAGTTTCCAAACATCTCTAATCTGTCCCGTCTAGGACAGTTTGTCTTTCGGCTTTTGCGCCACAGGTGACAATGACTGAGCACAAAAAGGAGCTACTCTGAAGCACTGGAAATAGGGAACATTAGAGAAGGAAAAGTTCCAAAATTTGGCACTGGCAACGTGACTCAACAGGGTAATCCTCCACCCCATGGAACCAGCTTGTGTCCCAGTTGCTCCACTTCTGCTCCTGGCCGATAGCCTGGGAAAGCAGGAGAGGATGGACCAAGTCCTTGGAACCTTGAGCCCACCTGGGAGATCTGGAAGAAGATCCTGGCTCCTGGCTTCAGATCAGCTTGGCTCTAGCCATTGCAGCCATTTGGGGAGTGAATCAGCACACGGAAGAGCTCTTTCCATACCTTGCCTTTTCTCTGTAACTTTGCTTTATAAATACAGATAAATAAATAAATCTTTAAAAGAAAAAGTTCTAAGGCTTAAGACTGTAACTTTGCCTTTTAGCTAATTCTAATGAAGGGTCTAGGGGAGAACACAAACTGAACCAAACTGATATTTAATGTAACACACTCCACAATTCTGCAACTCTATGTATCTAAAATTGGATATCACTTAAAACCTCAAGCTTGTGTTTAATTTAAAACTATATTTCGTGGGCCTAACAGCGTGGCCTAGAGGCTAAAGTCCTCGCCTTGCATGCGCAGAGATGCCATATGGGCGCCAGTTCTAATCCCAGCAGCTCCACTTCCCTTCCAGCTCCCTGCTTGTGGCCTGGGAAAGCAGTCGAGGACGGCCCAAAGCTTTGGGAACCTGCACCCGTGTGGGAGACCTGGAAGAAGTTCCTGGCTCCTGGCTCCAGATGGACACAGCACCAGCCATTGCACTCACTTGGGGAGTGAATCATTGGACAGAGGATCTTCCTCTCTGTCTCTCTTCCTCTCTGTATATCTGACTTTCCAATAAATAAATAAATCTTTAAAAAAAAAACTGTATTTTGTTCAGATATGGAATGTACAGCATAACATTTTGCCATAAATAAGATATTATATTGTCATGGAGATCAATAGAATCTACAGAATGTGTGCAAATCAATTAGGAAGAAGACTGTTAACATTTAAGTAAATCTGAATCCTGATTCTGAAAACAAAATCCTGAATGTATCATATCTTTGCTAAATTTGTATATTTTAAAAGATTCTCCAACAGAAGCCTGCAGCAGCAGATAAGGGAGAATGTGGAGTTCGTCTCTTTTAAACAAAGGCAACCAGTGCACTGAAGTGAACACCCAGAAGCAAAAGATTATGCATTTTCAATAGCAGCTCTTTCAGAGAAAATAATGGAATTAGAAATCAAAGTAATATATATATATCATCTTTATTTTTTCACAGCACAAAAACACGTGAGGTGGGAGGGCACACATAAAATTTAGCTAGGGTATCTACTTACACCTTCGTTGTCAAGTCTGATGCCAACCAGCTTCTCTGTATCGGAAACCTTCCCCTTTAAAAACCTGAACGGGGGAGGAAAGCAAGCAACTGTTGGTGTAACCTGATTTTAATTTCATACATATTTGACAAGTTTGAGACATGATATTTCATAAATTATAAACAAAAATTGCCTTGATTTTACAAAATCTTTTAATGAAAGCTCAGCAAGCCTTGGTGAAGAGAAATGCACATTAAGCATTTTAGGCTTTGTAGATTTTAGCCACAGGCGATTCAACTCCACTTTATCACAACAGTCTAAAAGCAGCCACAGCTAGTACAGAATGAAGGTGTTCAATAGAACTTAGGGTCACTAACAAAAATGTTCACCAAAAAATATCTATATAAATCGTAAAAGGGGGACCAGATTTGGCCATGGTGCACAGTTTACAAACTGTCACTATGAAACATTCATCTGGGTTGGCACAGTGGTAAGCATGTAAGTCTCTGCCTATATTACCAGCCTCCCATATGGGCACTAATCCAAGTCCTTGCTGCTCAACTTCCAATTCAGCTCCCTGATCATGGCCTGGGAAAGCAGCGGGACACAGCCCGCATCCTTAGGCCCGTGACCACATGACACAGAAAAAGTTCTTGGTTCCTGGTCATTACAGTCATTTGTGAAATGAACCAGTAAATAGTGCTCTCTTTCACTCTTTGTAACTCTGCCTTTCCCATTAAAATAAATAAATCCTTTTAAAAAAAATGATAAAGGGTCCAACACGGTAGCCTAAGAGCTGAAGTCCTTGCCTTCCACATGCCAGGAACCCATATTGCTGCAGCTTCATGTTCCAGAGGCCCTGCTTCCCATCCAGTTCCCTGTTCATGGCCTGGTAGGGCAGTCGAGAACAGCCCCAAAGTCTTGGGATCCTGCACCCACATGGGAGATCCAGAAGACGCTCTGATCTCCTGGCTTCAGATCAACTCAGTTCTGGCCATTGCAGCCACCTGGGGAGTGAATCAACAGATGGAAGATCGTTCTCTCTGTCTCTCCTCCTCTCTGTATATCTGATTTCCTAATAAAAACAAAATAAATATTTAAAAAATTAAATTTAATTTAAAAACTATCATCTAAAACCCTAAAACATGCAGAACTACTTTCAGTAGAGATGCCTACCCAAACCCACACACATAACTCAAAAAGCACCGATGTCTTCCAGTACACAAAGTCTATGAGATAAGAAGTTCAGGGGGAGGCATCTGATGCAAGAGCAACCTAGATGCTCAAATATGTTAACCAGCTACCAGACCTGAAGAAAAATCACAATTCCTCAGGCCTATTTATTTGTTAATATTGCACACAAGGTAAGAAAATATGTTATACGGTAACAATGAATTGAGTCACCTACCTCTTATCACTTCTCACTGGACATAGAAGTCCTCTTGCATCAGCAACTCTATCTGTGAGCATGGTAAGGAAAACATCACTCTTAAGCTAGAATTTCAACTTATACTTAACAAAGTATCAAGGCATTCATTTAATGCAGAATGCGGAAGTGAATGACAATGACACTAGTCCCCATGCAATGACACGCACAAATACACAGACTCTTTGTTTTCTATACATACCCTACATAATAAACTGATGAATAACAGGTATTTTGGTAAGATATGGATAGTTAGTGGAAAATACAAGAAAGTCAATATAAGAAATAAGTACATTAATTTTAGGTTCATAAAAAAGAACCTACAAATAAGAGACATTTTATGAATCTATTTCATCCTGGAACAACAGTTTTACTAAACTGGTACTAAATAATGCAAGGCTATCTTCAGCTATACATACATTTTTCCGTTGACATGCACACTTTAACAGATACTAGTCAATATATCAAGACAAGGCTAAATCTGGGAACTCACATTGTTTTGGAACAAACTGAGCTGTTTTGACTCCATGATTTTGCTCTTCCCCCCAGCCTTTGGTCTTTAATGCATCCATCTGACTTCTCTGAGAACTTAGAAACATAAAATGTGAGGAAAATCACATACAAAAGGAAAATCTAATAGAAATACACATCATTTATCAGACAAAACTCTCTACACAGGAGTTACCAATTACCCCATATTATACACAAAGGAAGAAACATATGGGTCTAGGACAAAAGGAATCTATTTATGATTATAAATAATACCCTTTAATGCAAGTTACCTAAACTCTACTGTCCCTATTTGTAAAACTGAACATTCTTAATCCCCTATGCCATTTTCACCAAAAAATCTTAGTATAACGAAACTAACATTGAAAAATTCTGGAGCACAGCACGATAGACTAGTGGCTACCCTGCCTTGAATGTGCCATATGGGTGCCGGTTCTAATTCCGGCAGCCCCTTCCCATCCAACTCCCTAATTGTGGCTTGGGAAAGCAGTCGAGGATGGCCCAAAGCTTTGGGAACCTGTACCCACATGGGAGACCCAGAAGACGCTCTGATCTCCTGGCTTCAGATTGGAAGAGTTCTGGCTGTTGCAGTCCCCTAGGGAGTGAATTAACAGACGGAAGATCTTCCTCTCTGTCTCTCCTCCTCTCTGTATATCTTACTTTCCAACAAAACTAAAATAAATCTTTAAAAAAAAATTCTTGGGGTTTTGCCATGGCATAGTAACCTAAACTTCAACCTACACTGCCAGCGTCTCATATGGGCGCCTATGGTTGCCGTTTCGTGTACCATCTGTTCTACTTCTAACCCCCTGCATAAGGCTTAGGAAAGCCTCAGAGGATGGGAAATTTGGAAGAAGCTCCTGGTTCCTGCCTTCGGATCCCTTCAGCTCTGGCCAATGCAGCCATTGCGAGTGAACAAATGGAAGATCTTCCTCTCTGTCTCTTCTTCTCTCTATGCAACTGTGCCTTTTGAATAATAAAATATATTAAAAAAAATTCTTAAATTCTGAATTTAATTGGATCCTAAAACAACACACTGCAAGCAGTAGTGAGGCCCAGCACAATGGCACACTGGCTAAATCCTTGCATTGCACAGGCCGGGATCCCATGAGGGTACCCATTCATGTTCCTGCTGCTCTACTTCTCTTCCAGCTCCCTGCTTGTGGCCTGGGAAAGCAGTTGAGGATGGCCCAACAAGCACGTGGGAGACCCAGAAGAAGCTCCTGGTTCCTGGCTTCGGAACAGCTTAGCTCCAACCATTGCAGCAACTTGAGGAGTGAACCAGTGGATGTAAGATGTTTATCTCTGCATCTCCTTCTCTCTGAAAATCTGATCTGACCTTCCATTAAACATAAATAGGTATTAAAAAAAAAAAGACCAAGAAGCATTGGCTAGCACTGTAGCATACTTGGCTAAACAACCATTTGTGAGGTCAACATCCCATTTCAGAAGGGCAGTTAAAGCCGACACACCTCAGCTTCAGATCCAGCTTCCAGCCAATATGCCTAGAAAAGCAGTTAGGCCCCACCATCTATTTGTGAGACCAGGATGGGGCTTCTGGTTCCTGCTTTCTGCCTGGACTACACCAGGTTATTGCAGCCATTTTGGAAGGAAAGAGGGAGCAAGAGGAAGATGCCTGACTCTTCTTGTCACTCTACTTTCCAAATAAATGGATACATAAATTAATGTTTATATAAATAATTTTTTAAAGATTTATTTATTTTTAATGGAAAGGAAGATATAAACAGAGGAGGAGAGACAGAGAACAAGTTCCATTCATTGATTGACTCCCCAAGCAGACACATGGCTGGAGCTAAGCTGATCTGAAGCCAAGAACCCACAGCCGCTTCCAGATTTCTCTAGCAGGTGCAAGGTCCTAAGGCCTTGGGCTGTCCTCGACTGCTCTCCTAGGGCACAAGCAGAGAGCTGGATGGCAAGTGGGGGTGGGGGCAGTTCGTGTCCTGGAACATCCAGGCCAAGCAAAGCAAGGACATTAGCTGCTGGATAACCGCTACAGGTCCATAAATAAATATTTTCAAAGTAGAAATTTTCAGGCCTGACATGGGAGCCTAGTGGCTAACGTCCTTGCCTTACAGGTCCTGGGATCCTATATACACGCCAGTTCTAATCCTAGCAGCTCCACTTCCCATCCAGCTCCCTGCTTGTGGCCTGGGAAAGCAGTTGAGGATGGCCCAAGCCCTTAGACCTTGCACCTGCGTGGGAGACCTGGAGAAGGTTCCTGGCTCCTGTCTTTGAATTGGCACAGCATTGGTCGTTGTGCTCACTTGGGGAGTGAATCAACACATGGAAGATCATCCTCTCTGTCTCTCCTTCTCTCAGTATATCTGACTTTCCAATAAAAATAAACAAATTTCTCAAAAAAAAAAAAAAAACAGCAGAAATTTTCACAAGGAAAGTAATGGGTATCTGACCTGTTTGACAATACCTGGTATGGGTATGCCCCAGCTCCATTCCTGATTCCAGCTGTTTGCTAATGTGCGCCCTGAGTAGGTTCAGGTGATACCCCTTGTGTGGGAAAGCTGGACGCAGTCCCAGCTCATGCCTTCAAGTACCACCCTAGAACACTGTAAGCATCTGAGGAGCAAACTAGGAGATGGGTGAACACTCCCTCTGCCTCTCAAATAACTTACGGCTTTTCAGTTTTAAGATTATGAAAATACTTAGAGGATTATGCAAATATAACAAAACCAACAGTTCAACAAGGACACTGTGTCTAATGATGACTCAAAATAGAGAAAACAACTTCATGACTAGAGAAATTTTTCAAACATTTACAACCAAATTTAAAATCCCCAAGTGACTTTTCATTTCTGCATTATTAAACAAACTGGATAATCATGTGAAAGCCATTTTTACTTGTCACATACTTTCTGGGATCCTTTTGTATTCTCTTTTCACTCACTAGGGCTTCCAGGTATACCTCTATCCTGAACTCACACGTACTAGCACCACTTGTAGGTAAATATAAGGCGAAACAACACCTTGTTTTGCCACTCTCATCTACTTGATCAACTCACTTCATAACCTGATCAGCAAGCAACCTTTTTTTTGAAGAATAATTTATTTTTATTGGAAAGGCAGATATACGGAGAGGAAGAGAGACAGAGAAGAAGATGTTCCATTCAATGGTTCACTCCCAAACAGCCGCAAAAGCTGGAGCTGAGCCAATCCGAAGCCAGGAGGCAGTAGCCTCCTCCAGTTCTCCCACACAGGTGCAGGGTCCCAAAGCTTTAGGCCGTCCTCAACTGCTTTCCCTGGCCATAAGCAAGGAGCTGGATGGGAGGTGGAGCTGCCGGGATTAGAACTGGCACCCATATGGGATCCCAGCATGTTCAAGGCACGTTTAGCCATTACGTTATCGTGCTGGGCCAGGCAAGCAATCTTATAAAGAAAATCCTTTCTTTTTAAAAATATTTATTTATTATTGGATAGGCAATTTACAGAGATAAAGAGGGACAAGAGAAAGATCTTTTATCTGCTGTTTCCCTCCCCAAATGGTCGCAATGGTTGGAAGCGGGTTGATCCAAAGGATCTTCTTTGAGGTCTCCCAGGGGACTGCAGTGTCCCAAGACTTTAGACTATCCTCCACCGCTTTCCAAGGCCACAAGCAGGGAGTTGGATGGGAAATGGACTAGCTGGGATACAAACCAGGGCCCATATTGGATGCCGGTACTTAAAAGGTGGAACTTGATCCTGCTACGCCATGGTGGCAGCCCTAAAAAATTCTTACAACCACAAATGACTTTGTTCTTGTCTCTAGATTAGAGGTTTTCAATTATACTAAATAGTAATCACTCAAACTCTACAGACTATATGTGTATCATAATGTAGCAATAAGGTCAGAGGGAGAATAAAGATTGAGAGATTCCCAAAAGTAAAAGAGAAAGGAAGGAGGCACAGCAGGAAGAAATTGGGAGACTAGCCAGAGATCAAAAGGAAGGGGGGGAGAAACAAAAGCAAAAAGTGAGAAACAGAAATTTTGAAAATGTTTATTTTGGGAGGCTGAAAATACTCTGTACCCCTCAACCAAACCTACTACAACCAATGATCCACCTTTCTGTGTCAAAATTTTCAGGAGTTCACCTGAGGAGAGGAGTCCAAAGCTAACAAGAAATCCATCTTATGAAAACAACGTTCTCCATAACCCCTACTAGGTGCAATGTCAGCAAATATATGACTACAGGGATTGTTTACTAAGTGTTCACACCTTTACTCTCCATAAGTTCTTTCAATCCAATCTCCTTTTTCTAAAAAAGAAAAAGATATCGAAGAAAGTATTTATCTTATTAGCTTATTTTTACCTGTAATGACTTGAAGTTACAGAAGGGATGGAATTTCCATGACCACTTTCTTTAAGTCGTTCTAGTAGCCTTTGATACTTCTCTTTTTCCTCTTTCTGAACACCCTAAAAACATCACAGCATGTTAAATCAACACTAGCACTTACAGTTTCAATTAGGTCACAAACAGACCTAAGAGGTCAAGTGCATATTATTTAACAGCATAACGTGTAGTCAGGGTTTATACTATTTTTTTAATAGGTTGGCAACAGCAAAAGAATTATTTAAAAAAATTTTTTTAAGATTTATTTATTTTTATTACAAGGTCAGATATACAGACAGGAGAGACAGAGAGGAAGATCTTCCGTCCAATGATTCACTCCCCAAGTAAGCGAAACAGCCAGTGCTATGCTGATCCAATGCCAGGATCCAGAAACTTCTTCCGGGTCTCCCATGCGGGTGCAGGGTCCCAAAGCTTTGGGCTGTCCTCGACTGCTTCTCCAGGCCACAAGCAGGGAGCGGGATGGGAAGTGGAGCTGCCGGGATTAGAACCGGCGCCCATATGGGACCCCAGTGCATACAAGGCAAGGACTTTACCTGCCAGGCCACACCGCTGGGCCCCCCAAAAATTATCTATTCTTTATTGGAAAGTAAAATATACGTAGAGGAGAAACAGAGAAGATCTTCCGTCTGGTGATTCACTCCCCAAGCAGCCACAATGAACAGAGCTGTGTCAATTCGAAGCCAAGAGACTATAGAGCCTCTTCTGGGTCTCCTATGCAGGTGCAGTGTCCCAAGGCTTTCAGCCATCCTGAGCTGCTTTGCCAGGCCACAAGCAGGAAATAAGCTTGATGGGAAGTGTGGAAAGGAGACTCAAGACTCTTAAATGAGATATTGAATATAAGATTGAACATCTACAGATGATATATTTTGGGAATATTCTCATTTGGATTTGTATCCCAGCAGTTCCACTTCCCATCCAGCTTCCTGCTTGTGGTGTGGGAAAGCATTCAAGGATGGCCCAAAGCTTTGGGACCCTGCATCCACAAGGGAGACCTGGAGGAAGTTGCTGGCTCCTGGCTTCAGATCAGCTCAATTCTAGACGACAGGGCAACTGGGGGAGTAAATCAACAGACAAAAAATCTTCCTCTCAGTCTCTCTTCTTCTCTGTAAATCTGACGTTCCAATAAAAATAAATGCACCTTAAAAAAAGATCAAAACAACTGTTTAAAAAATTGTTTCTGCATAAGCTCCTAGGACAAAGACCACATTTCAGTCAATTTTCAATGCAGACAACAGACATAGCACTTGGGATTCAAATACATATCCCTTCATAAACTAAGCAAGTGGCCCAGAAAATGAAGGGGTCAGCTTTGTGTAGTTAGGACAAGGCCTATGATACTGGCATCATTTACCAGGTATGGGTTTAAGTTCCAGTTACCCTACTTCCAATCCAGCTCCCTGCTAACAACCATGGGAAAGCAGCAAAAGATGGTCCAAGCTGTGGGGCACCACTACCCAATAGAAAACCCAGATGAATTTCTTAATTCTAGGGTTCGCCAGCCCTTGCTGCTGCAGCTGTGTGGAAAGTGAACCAGCACAGGGATGAACTCTTTCTCTCCCTTTCACTCTGCATTTCAAATAAATAAAATATTTCTAAAAATATAACTTGTAGGGACGGTACTATAGTATGACATACTAATAGTCCACACGCAGCAACAGCATCCAATATGGATGCTGCCTCTATTTCCGGCTGTTCTACTTCCTATGAGACTCAATGGAAATTTTATGATCAAGAAAAGCAGTGGAAGGTAACTCAAGTTCTTGGGCTCCTGCACCCACATGGGAGACCCCAAAGAATCTCATGCCTCTCAGCCTGTAGAGTTCCAGCTCCAGTTTTTGTGGCGTGAACGAGAGCATGGAAGATCTCGCCCCCTGCATCTCTCCTCACCATAAATCTGCATTCCAGATGAAAAAACAAAATTTAAAGGACCTTGTTCAAAAATTTTGTCTTATACACTGAAATAGCTTCTACAGTAGAGAAAATACAAGAGTAATTCTTGGGGGTTTTTTTGTTTGTTTTATAATTGGAAAATTAGAAATACAGAGAACAGGAAAGACAGAGAGGAAGATCTTCCATCTGCTGATTCACTCCCCTAGCAGCCGCAAAGCGGGAGCTGTGCCAGTGTGAAGCCCGGAGCCAGGAACTTCTTCCGGATCTCCCACATGGGTGCAGGGTTCCAAGACTTTGGACTGTATCAACTGCTTTCCTAGGGCACAAGCAGGCAGCAGGATGGGAAGTGGAGCTGCTTGGATTAGAACCAGTGCCCATAGGGGATCTCGGCTCATGCAAGGCAACCACCACAAGGCTATCACGCCAAGCCCAGGAAAAATTCTAAATTTTTCCTGTAACAACCTGAAGACCTTAAGACACCAATAATTTTAAATTGCTCAAGATTTACTAGTAATCAGGGAAATGCAAATTAAAACCATAATGAGATTTTACCTCACTCCTGTTAGAATGGCTATCATTCAGAAATCAAGAAACAATTGAAGCTAGTGAGGATGTGGGTAAAACGATAAAGTGTTGGTGGGATATAATTCTGTGCAACCATTTTGGAAGAGTATGAAAATAGTTCCAACATATGATCCAGCCATCCCAATCCAAGAACTTACGTAAAATAAAATCCGCATATGAGAATTATCTGCATACCCACATTTACACAGCATGATTCTCAATAGCTAAAACATGGAAGGAACCCAGATGTTCATCAGGTGATGACTAGATAAAGAAAACCTGTATGCACACTACGGAATACTGCTCAGCCATAGAAAGGAATGAATATCTTGTCTTTTAGAACTAAATAAATCAAAGTGAAAACCATTAAGTTTAGTGAACTAAGTCACTCTCAAAAAAAAAACAAAAAACAAACATCATACATTTTCCTTCATCCATGAAAATTACTATATAAAGTACAAAAATGTAATTTTTCAGAAATTCTTTTATTTTGGTAATCTTTACATAGTTGATTAGGACACAAAGGATCAAGGGCTACAGGAAAGTGGGTAAGACCATTGTTTGCACATTAATATTATTTTTTTTTTCTGTGTCTGGGGTAAGGGAAGAGATAAAAGGAAAAACCCCAATCAGCCTCGCACCCATCCCAGGTCCCTGATGTGGGGTATGCTCTGGGGGTCCAGCTCAAGCAGCCTGTCTCTCCTCTCTGTATATGACTTTGCAATAAAAATAAATAAATCATTAAAAAAAAAAAGAAAATAGAATTGATTGGGAATGGCACAATAACCTAGTGGTTAAATCCCTTTTTGCATTTACAGGGATCAAACATGGGCACCAATTTGTGTCCTGGCTATAACACTTCCAGCTCCATTTGTGGCCTGGAAAGCAGTGGAGGACTACCCAAAGCCTTAGGGCCCTGCACCTGTGCAGGAGACCCGGAAGAATCTCCTGGCTTTGGATCAATACAGCACGGGTTGATGTGGCCACTTGGGCAATTGAACCAGTGGGTGAAGATTCTTCTGTCTATACATCCGCCTTTCCAGGAAAAATTTAAAAATGAAAATACAAAGAAAAAAACATGAAAGCGATTGAGGCGAGCACTGTGGCACAGCAAGTTAAAAGACCACCGGCCACACTGGTATCCCATATGGCATAAGTGCTCCACATCCAATCCTGCTCCCTACTAACATGCCTGGGAAAGCAGCAAGGGATGACTCAAATCTTTTGGCCCCTGCCAACCATGTGGGAGACCTAGAAGCTCTTGGCTCCTGGCTTTGGCCTGGCCCAACCCTAGCTTTGTGGCCATTTCACGGATGAACCAGCAGATGGACAATCTCCCTCTCTCTATAACGCTGCCTTTCCACTGGATAAATAAATATTTTTAAAAAGCTAGCAATTGTTTCTCCATTGTTCTAAGGCGCAAAAAGTTGAAAAGATGCATACCATTTTACTTCTCTTTGTTACTACATTTTATAAAACAAGTCAAAATTCAGAAACCCAGTAAGAACAATCTATGACCTTTTTAAAAAGATTTAGTTCAGCCTGGTGGACTGCAACACCCATTGGTTCCAACGGAAGTTGGGAGTGAAAACAATCACCCCAGCGATCCCAACCACCAGCTGATCAGGGCGATGGAATGTGCCGGGCCCTGTACTTGTTAGCACATACAAGAATCTGGGTTGAGAACAACTCAGACAAAATTTCTTTGGAGATCTCCCCAGTCAAAATGATGGACTCAGGGGCCCGGCGCGGTGGCACAAGTGGTTAAGGTCCTCGCCTTGCACGCCCGGGATCCCATATGGGCGCTGGTTCTAATCCCGGCAGCCCCGCTTCCCTTCCAGCTCCCTGCCTGTGGCCTGGGAAAGCAGTCGAGGACGGCCCAAAGCTTTGGGACCCTGCACCCATGTGGGAGACCTGGAAGAGTCTCCTGGCTTCGGATCGGCATAGTATCGGCATAGTATCGGCCGTTGCACTCACTTGGGGAGTGACTCATCGGACAGAAGATCTTCCTCTCTGTCTCTCCTCTCTGTATATCCACCTTTCCAATTAAAAAATAATAATAAAAATAAATCTTAAAAAAAAAAAAATGCTGGACTCAGAACCCTAACCAAGAAAAGAGAGAAGACAGAACAGGTCAACCAACCATCTCAGCTATATCTTGGCAGAGAAATATGGGGCAAACAGAGACTCTATGATGGACCATGTCAATCACTAGATTATTCAAAGACCTCATAGTGCTTGGGGTGGCAAGATTGGCAGCGATTCATAACTGTTGAAATATCAAAACCACCTGAGGAAGAACCTCAGAGCATACCCTACATCCGGGACCTGGGGAGGGTGGGAAATTGGGTGGGCCTTCTGCTTAATACCCCCCTTTAAACATGAAGAAAACAATATGGAAAAAATAATAGTCTTACCCACTTTCCTGTAGCCCTTGAACCTTTTCACCCTAATTAACTATGTAAAGATTGTCAAAATATAATAATAAATAAACAAATAGATTTCGTTCATTTGTACTTGAAACACAGGGGTACAGAGAGAGGCGGAAAGAGGCAATTCAAAGCCAAGAAGCAGGAGCCTCTGTCTCCCTCACAGGGACAGGGAGGGGTCCAAACACAGAAGCAATGCTTTGCTGCTCCCCAGGCCATAAGCAGGGAGCTAGATCAGAGTTGGAGCAGCTGGGACTAGACCTGGCACACATATAGGATGCCAGTGTCACAGGCAAAAACTGGGTCTACTATACCAAAGTGCTGGCCCCACATAATCTTATCCCTTCCTGACATGACTGCATTGTCTCCCTAATAGTGACACAACTGCACATACAAAGGAAGTAAATTATATATGTATGACATATCATTCAGAAGGAAAAATAGCTACTAGCAGCTATTTCCTAAGTCAAACAGGATGATGAAAGCCAGATACAGAAGCGATGGGAACATATCTTCACAGTATACCCATTTGTATCTTTTGACTTTATCATAATATACATTAATCATTCCCTAAAAAATCCACAAAATGTACTTCTAAAAATAAATCGGGTTCATATGGCTCACCTCCTCCACAGTGCAATGAGGACGTCTCAAACCTTTGCCAACCTCTTCAGAAATTGTCTCTGTTATAGCCTGTTCCTGAGGTTTCCACATTAAGGAATCTTCTGGATTGCCTCTGCTATGGCGACGGACACCTGGTCTTCTGTTATACCCTTCCGAGTTCAAAGTAAAACTGGGTAAAAAAAAAGACCAAAAATGAATTATCAAATAGCTTAGACTGTTAGAACTCAAGCTACAAAAGTACCCTTTGACCATTTATAAAAGTTCAATCTATGCCTAGAGAACCAGGGCATTCAAATTCTAGATTTAGTTTCCCTGTCATACACACTCCCCACACCTGGTACAGTACCACTGGAATTAATTATTCATGTGATTACTTATTTAATGTCTATATTCCACATCAAACTACTATACTATAGCATGAAGGTTACGTCAAAAGATACTCAATAACTACTGTTGAATGCTAAACTAAATTTACTAAGAAAGTTGAAAGTCATGGAACCTACCACTCAACTGCTCGTGGTAATAGATTGGCCTCACTTGCCATTACAAACAATTTCAGATGACAGAAAGGCTGTAAGACCACTTCTAATACTTCTTTGCTTTTTTTTTTAAGGTTTATTTATTTTTATTGCAAAAGCATATGGACAGAAAGGAAGAGATTCCATCTACTGGTTGACTCCTCAAATGACCATAACATCCAGGGCTGAGCCGATGTGAAGTGAGAAGCCAGAAGCTTCTTCCAGGTCTCTAACATGGCTGCAAGGTCCGAAGGCTTTGGGCCATCCTCTACTGCTTTCCCAGATCACAGGCGGGGAGCTGGATGGGAAGTAGAGCAGCCAGAACACAAACCAGTACCTATATGGGATCCTGGTGCATGCAAGGTAAACACTAAGCTATGGCGCCAGGATCAAAATTAAAGTATAAATGTCATTAAAGATAAACAATGACAGAGATGTTCAAGATTAAAACAGATCAGAGGGCCCGGAATGGCAGCCTAGCAGCTGATGTCCTCGCCTTGAATGTGCTGGGATCCCATATGGGCACCAGTTCTAATCCTGGTAGTCCTGCTTCCCATCCAACTCCCTGCTTGTAGCCTGGGAAAGCAGTTGACACAGTCCACAGTCTTGGGACCCTGTTCCCGCATGGGAGACCCAGAAGTAGCTCCTGGCTCCTGGCTCCAGATCAGCCCAGTTCCGGTCATTGCGGCCACTTGGGAGTGAACCAGCAGATAGAATATCTTCCTCTTTCTTTCCTTCTCTCTGTAAATTTTCCTTTCCAATAAAAATAAATAAGTTTATTGAGGGCCCGGCGTGGTGGCGCAAGTGGTTAAGGTCCTCGCCTTGCACGCCCGGGATCCCATATGGGCGCCGGTTCTATCCCAGAAGCCCCACTTCCCATCCAGCTCCCTGCCTGTGGCCCGGAAAAGCAATCGAGGACGGCCCAAAGCTTTGGGATCCTGCACCCATGTGGGAGACCCAGAAGAGGCTCCTGGCTTCGGATCGGCATAGTATCGGCCGTTGTGCTCACTTGGGGAGTGAATAATCGGACGGAAGATCTTCCTCTCTGTCTCTCTCTGTATATCCGCCTTTCCAATAAAAAATAATAAAAATAAATCTTTAAAAAAATAAATAAATAAATCTTTTTAAAAGAGAAAAGGAGAAAAAGGAATCAAACAAACTCATTTAGAGTCAAAAATTTACTCTTGAATGGTTCAGGGAACAAAATACATTATCCGTGCGTGCATGACAGAGAACAATAAAGCAAATGCCATAAAATGGTAACAATTAGTGAACCTAGGTCAAGATTATTATTAAGAGCTGCAAATATATAAAGTAGGGGCCAGCTTTGTGGTTAACAAGTTGCTGCCTGGGAAACCAGCAACCCATATGGCCAATGCTGCTCCAGTCATTCAGCTCATTGCTAATGCACTTGGGAAAGCAGCAGAACATGTCACAAGTACCTGGGCCTCTGCCATCCATATGGGAAACCAGAATGAAGCTCCTGGTTCTGTCCTAGCCCAGGCCAGCGATTATGGCCTTTGGGGAGTGAACCAGTGGATGGGAGAGTTCTCTGCCACTCCTTCTTTTTCTGTACCTTTGCCTTTTAAGTCATAAATGAATCTAAAAAAAATTACACAGAGCAAAAAAGGAGAAATCACATGACTGGAAGAGACAGATCTATTATTGCTGAAAACATCAAAATTCTTCCTAACCAATAATTTTAAAAAAAGTAAAAAGATCAGAACTTCCTTTAAAACACTTTAAGTCAATTTAATCTTACTGAAATTTCTGGAATACTGTACTTGAAGAGGAAAATACACATGCTTTTCAAATGAATGGGGAATAATATCCAAATAGTATTATAAGCCATAAAAGAAAATTTGGAAACTTAATAACCTATCTTTAACCTTTTAACCAATCACCCATCAGGCTGCTGCTGCAACAGTGGCATCCCACATGGGCAACCTTGAGTCTGGACCACTCCACCTCCAACCCAGCTCCGTGCCAATGTCACCAGCAAAGCAGCAGATGGCCCAACTGGCAGTGAATATCTGGGTAAATGGAGACTCTAAGGTGGATTATGTCAACCAGTGGATTCTGGAGAGATTTTATTATACTTGGAGAGGCAAGATTGGCAGTAATTCAGGACTGTTGAACTATCAAAACCTCTGGAGCAGAACTCTCAGAGCATGGTGTTGTGTGGCTGGACCCAGGGTGCAGAGGCATTTGGGAGGCTGGATGTGGCTTCTTTCCTTATCTCACCTTCCCCAAATACAGGAAAGGAAAAAAAATTTTAAAAAAAAAAAAGAGAGAGAGAATGTGAAAATGTTGACCTTATCCCCTTTCCTGTAGTTCTTGACCAATATCACTCCAATCAATTATGTAAAAATCATCAAAAAAAAATGGTCCAACTGCTTGAGCTTCTGCCACCCATGTAGGTGATCTGCAGATGGAAGAGCTTTCTTTTTCCCTCTCTCTCTCTTTCAAATAAGCAAATATTTAAGAAATAATCAGGGGCCCAGGGAAGAAGCCTAGCAGCTAGTCTTCACCTTGAACACGCTGCGATCCCATATGGGCGCCAGTTCTAATCCCAGCTGCTCCACCTCCCATCCAGCTCCCTGCTAGGGCCTGGGAAAGCAGTAAATGATAGTCCAAAACCTTGGGACGGGCCCGGCACGATGGCGCAGTGGTTAAGGTCCTCGCCTTGCACGCCCGGGATCCCATATGGGTGCTGGTTCTAATCCCGGCAGCCCCACTTCCCTTCCAGCTCCCTGCTTGTGGCCTGGGAAAGGGACCCTGCACCTGTGTGGGAGACCCGGAAGAGGCTCCTGGCTCCTGGCTTCAGCCCGGCATAGCATCGGCCGTTGCGCTCACTTGGGGAGTGAATCATCGGATGGAAGATCTTCCTCTCTGTCTCTCCTCTCTGTATATTTGCCTTTCCAATAAAAATAAATCTTTAAAAAACAAAAACAAACAAACAAACAAAAAAAACCACAAAACCTTGGGACCCTGCACCCGTGTGAGAACCCCAGAAGAAGTTCCTGGCTCCTGGCTTTGAATCAGCTTAGCTCTGGCTGTTTCAGCTACCTGGCAATGAACCCGTGGATGAATATCTTTCTCTCTGTATCTCCTTCTCTCTGTTCGTCTGTATTTCCAATAAAAATAAATAAATCTTGAGCCCAGCAGCGTGGCCTAGCAGCTAACGTCCTTGCCTTGAACGTGCTGGGATCCCATATGGGCCCCGGTTCTAATCCCGCAGCTCCACGTCACCTCCACAACTTCCTGCTTGTGGCCTGGGAAAGCAGTCGAGGATGGCCCAAGCCCTTGGACCCTGCACCATGTGGGAGAGCTGGAGGAAGTTCCTGGTTCCTGGCTCCAGATCAGCACAGCACCGGCCATTGCGGTCACTTGAAGAGTGAATCATCGGACGGAAGATCTTCCTCTCTGTCTCTCCTCCTCTCTGTATATCTGACTTTGTAATTAAAAAATAAATTTTTAATAAATAAATAAATCTTTTTAAAAAAAACTATGCATCAAAGAGAAAGTAAAATGGAAATCAGAAAACAAAAATGAAAACTCAGATCTCAAAGTAAGGGGAATTAAAAATAAAGCTAAAGCAATATTTATATAAAGAAACTGATAAAATACTTAGGGCCTAAGTCTACCTTTAACTATAACAAAGCCATCTTTCACAAAACTGTAACAAATCAAGTTTAACAATGGCATAATAATGTAAGAAGCAGTATATATCCAAATTTATACAAAGCTAGTAAAAACATCCTTTACACAAATATCCTCTGGGCTGGTGCTATGGCATAGCACATAAAGCTCCCTCTTGCACTGGCAGCATTCCACATGAGCCCCAGTTCAAGTCCTATCTGCTCCACTTCTAATTCAGCTCCCTGCTAAAATACCTAGGAAAGCAATGCAGGATGGCCTACGTGCTTGGGCTCCAGCAACTACACCGAGACCTAGAAGTGTTTGATTTCTGGCTTCAGCCCAGTTTGGTGCTGGCCACTGCAGCCACTTGTGGAATGAGTCAGCAGGTAGAAGATCGCTTTGAATCTCTATAACTCTGTCTTTCAAATAAAAAACAATAAATAGATCCTCTACTCCAAGTTTTCTTTAGTAATTTCAACTGAAATGACTGCCATTCATATAAATTATTACTATATTTACAAAATGGCTATTTTCTTTCATAGATGGCATTTTACTATTTACCTCTACACTACATATTATTTATTACATATATAACTATATATCTATATTCCTACTCTTATTCTGACACATAAGTTATTCCCACTTTGACCTAGCAACAGATCTTTTAAGTTTTCTCATACATTGGTACCATGTCAGTTCCTGAATATTCCTTTCCCTTATTTTTTCTTGTAAACTTTATTTGAAAAGCAAAGCAGAGGGAGACAGAGGGAGAGACCTTTTGTCTGCTGGCTGGTTAACTCACTAAACATCTACCATGGTCAGGACAGGGCCAGGCTGAAGCTGGGTACCACAAACTCTCTTTGGGGTCTCCAATGTGGGGGACCAGGGCCTAGAACCTGTGCCATCTCCTCTGCTTTCGAGGGCACAATAATAGGAAGCCAGATTGGAAGTGAAATACTTGGATATAAGCTGACACTCTGATACATAATGCTGGTGAGTCAGGGGACAGCTAAACCTGCAGGACCACAGTGCCAGCTCTGAGCACTCCTTTACTCTCTGGGATGAGGCGTTCCATATTCATTTTGTACTTTTCCTCCTAGATTTACATTCAGCCATTCATACACCTTCAGAGGACCCAGTCTTAAATATCTCATTCTTAAATGTAAGTGCCCAGCTGAGGATTACAAAGTACTTAAGAATCTAACTTTTAAAATGGAACTAAGAAAAGAAATGCGGGAAAGGGAAGACAACTGAAGGTAAACAAGACAAAGCAAGAAGAAATTTCAAAATATTTTACAGACATAATAAACTATATCATCCTACAAATTGCCTGAAAGAAAAAAAAAGCAATAATAAATTTTAGAAGATTTATCTATTTTTATTGGAAAAGCAGATCAGATTGATGGAGAAAAGGAGACACAGAAAGATATTCCATCTGCTGGAAAAATCCCAAAATGGCCGTAACAGCCAGAGCTGAACTGATCCAAAATCACGAGCCAGGAGCTTTCTCCGGGTCTCCCACATGGGTACAGGATCGCCAGGTTTTCCCAGGCCACAAGCAGGGAGCTGGAAAGGAAGTAGAGCAGCTGGGACATAAACTGGTGCCCGTATGGGATCCCAGTGCCCACAAGGTGAGGATTTAGCCATTGAGCCATTGTGCTGAGCCCAAAAAACAAAATTTTTAAGAGCAAGAAGGGAACCAGCATGGCACAGCAAGTTAAGCTATCAGCAGCATCCCATACTGCAATGCAGGTTCAGGTCCCAGATACTGGGGCCAGAACTGTGGCACAGCAGGTAAGCCATGGCCTGAGATTGTGGCATCCCACATGGGAACAACAAGTCCCAGCTGCTCAACTTCAGATCTAGCTCCCTGCTAATGTGCCTGGGAAAACCGGATGATGGACTGAGTACGTGGGCCTGGATCCTCTATGCGGAAACCCAAGGGAGTTCCTGGCTCCTGGCTTCCCCCTGATCCAGCACAGACTGTTACAGCTTGGGGGAGTGAAACAGTGGATGAAAGGCCTCTCCATTTCTCTCACTCTCCCCCCACTCTGATGTGCTGAAAATCAATCTTTAAAAAAAATAAACAAAATTTTAACATATTTAAAAATAATAACAAAAGCAAGAACAGCACATGAGAAAATCTAAGAAAATTAAATCGTTCTTTAACGTATAAAATTCAGGCAAATTCTAGAAATCCTAGAGTGAGAATACAGAAATAGGGAAGAAAACTTTATGTTCAGCATAGGAGAAACCATCAAACTGTACTTGTGATTTCTACATTCTTCCCATTACAAATTCTTTAAAAATTCAGAACAAACTCAGTTAAAATTATTTGAAAGGAGGTTTTTACAATCAGCTTATTCTGTGAGCACATAATTAGTAGAAAAGGTAACACATATCCAGGCTCCAGTCTCTAACTTTACTAACTTCAGAAACTTACTACTCAGAAGTACTCACTTAACAAAATGACACAGACCCAAAGTGAAAATGCTTCATAAGAGTAAGCACCTAACAACTGCTACATTTCCACTTACAAAAGGCAGAATTTAACACCTACCCAAAGGAAGGCAGAACTCTGCGTGGCTGATCTCGGGTTACCGTCACTCTGATCTTTGGATAGTCACTTATTCCATTAGGAGATTTATTACCTATTTTAAAAACGCATTTGCAATTGTTAAAAAAAAAAAAACAACACTGGTGAACAACCCTACATTCCAAAAACCCATGAATAATCTAAATTACAGAACTATGTAGCTTACATTGTAAAATTTTATTAATACACAACACAGAAGTCCAGCACAAATTCTGTAAGCATTAAAGAAGAACATTTATCTATGTTTGTCTTTGGTCTAAGATAGGTAATAACAGAATTTAGTAACAAGTGTTTTAAATTTTGTTTGGTGGAACTGACAAGAGACCATGAAGAACTCAAAAATACAATTTCTCCATAACTTATTCCATTTGAGTAAATTTTTCAAATTATGTTTCCTCTTCAGAAGATAACCAGTCACACATGTGACATGTCACCATATGCTTCCAGTAATTGTAAGCAAGTTAAGATAGTAAAATGTCATCAGCCAGGTTATCTACCAGGGGAACCACTGCAGGACTTTGAAATCCCTGAGAATTCAAGAGTTCTACAATTGAAGTTTTCATAGGCCAGTTGCCATAGAAACCTAAACTGACCTGAATTCACTGGTTTGCTAAATTCAACTTAGAGACAGGGCATGATGGCTCAACGGGCTAAGCCTCTCCCTCAAGTGCCAAAATCTGATACAAGTGCAGGTTCAGGTCTCAGCTGCTCTACTTCCCTTCCAGCTCCTTGCTTGTGGCCTGGGAAAGCAGTCAAGGATGGACGAAAGCTTTGGGACCTTGTAACTGTGTGGGAAACCTGGAAGAGGCTCCTGGCTCCTGGCTTCAGACCGGCTCAGCTCTGGATTTTGTGGCCATTTGGGAAATAAACCAGCAGACTGAAGATCTTTCTTTCTGTCTCTTCTCTCTATAAACCTGCCTTTTGCACAAAAATAAACAAATCTTAAAAATCCTGACTTGTACCCATGTAAAGCTAGTCTTTACTTACCTCACCTCTGTGAATAATATTCAACTGCAGAAATATTTATGTTTGATTAGTTTTACTCTAGATTCCAATGGGCTTTCTAAATAATCTTCAAAATGTACATCTATATCAATTTGAAAATATCTGAATTCATAAACATATCTGGTCTCCAAGGGTTTAAGATAAAGGATGTTATACAAGACAATGGTCCTGGGGCTACCAACATGGAACAGAATGTTGGGCTTCTGTCTGAGGGGTATCTCCTAAGAGCACTGGTTCAAGTCCCCAATACTCTGCTTTCAAACCAGCTCTCTGTTGGCGGCCTGGAACAGCAGCAGCAATGACCCCCCCAAGTGTGCTTGGGACTATGCATCCACGTGGGAGACCTAGAGAAAGCTCCTGGCTTAGGACCAGCCCACCTCCAGCCACGGTGGCTATTTATGCAGTGAATCAGCAGATGGACAATCTATCCCTCTGTCTGTCCTCTTTCTGTAAAAAATAGAAAAAAAGGAGAGTGTGGAAGACGGAGAGGAGGAAAGGAAAGGAGAGAGAAAGGAGAGGAGAGAGAAGGGGGGATAGGAGGGAAGAGAGGAAGAGGAGAGGAGATGAAAGAAAAAAGAAAAGAAATATGGCCTTTAAAGTCTTTGGAACTGGAGTACTACAGTATCAGGTACAAGGGTGTGGGTTTACTCTCCTTTGCTCTTTCCTCGGCCTCCTGAAGTACTTACTTAAAAAAGCTTAAGATCAAATGTAAGTCATTTATCGTTGCCCAAACTTCTTTCTCAGGATTTCTGAATCCTCTTTTCCCAACTATCTCCTCTTCCTCTCAAATGTTACCAATGTAGCTGGATTACAGACATCCCCATCATTTCCCACATCTAGCATCTTCTACTGTTCTTCACCAAAACATTTCGTATATTACATACAATAAATTCAGTTTCAGGGTCTAAAGGTTCTAGGAGGGGAGCACAGCTGCTCGCATACACTTGACCAAGGACAGTTCTCCTCTAGCAGGGATGGGCACCCTCTAAGACCAAGGGCACAGCTTCAGCAGGCAAGCTCGTGGAGCGGTGAGGGAGGAAGGGGACACCTGCCTAGCCAGCCTAACCCTGGAGATCAGCGGGGTGACAGATGTAACAGCCAGATCGCCCTCACATCCACAAAAGTCCTTACACTATAAAACTGTAAGAACTAGGAATCTGAGGCTGCTCCCATAGATACTGATGAAATCCTCAAGGGCAAACACAACATTTCATTATTCTGTTGATTTAAATAAATTAATACAACACCTAGAATAGTGAAAGCCATCAGTAAATGTGGGTTTTTAAAGAATGAACCTTACTTAAATCATTTAGAACATATATTTATAAATAGAACATGTAACAGTAAATTTAGAGAAAACAATCCTGAAGGAAAATTATTTGCTAAATTTAGAATGTTAGTATATATGCTTTCATTCTCATCCTGATCCAAATCAGTGCTTTTAAGTCTAAAAACTTAGAGGTAAACAGGTAGAAGGTGGCAGAGGAACACATAAATATTTTTGACTATCTCACCAAGTTTCAGCATGTTGTTTGAGGATCCAGAACCTGTCAGTTCACAAGAAGGCGGCCTTGAGAATACCTGAAAAAACACCAAGATCACTTATATGGCATCTAAATTTTAAAATTTAAGTAAATTTCCAATATGAAAAAAACCACTGTATGGAATACTTTCTCAGGTAGTCCATATAAAAGGTGCTATCATTAAAACCAAAGATTTAAGGAAGTATGAGCCCGGGCCAATAGCATAGTGGTTAAAGTCCCAGCCTTGGACATTGCCTGGATCCCATATGGGTACTGGTTCTGGTCCCAGCAACCCCACTTCCAATCCAGCTCCCTGCCTGTGGCCTGGGAAAGCAGTCCATGACGGCCCAAAGGCTTTGGGAACCTGCACCCAAGTGGGAGACCCGGAGGGGGCTCCTGGCTCCTGGCTTCAGATTGGCTAAGCTCCAGCCATTGCAGCCACTTGGGGACTGAATCATAGGTGGGGGATCTTCCTCTCTGTCTCTCCTCCTCTCTATGTCTGCCTTTCCAATAAATATCAATAAATTAAAAAAAAAAAATTAAGGAAGTGAGCTGGCTGTACTGGCTAATCCTCTATCTCCAGGTGCTGGCATCCCATATGGGTACCAATTTGTGTCCCAGCTGCTTCACTTCCTTTCCAATTCCCTGCTTATGGCCTGGGAAAGCAGTAAACATGGCTAAAAGTCTTGAGACCCCTGAACCCACATCGGAAATCTAGAAGAAGCTCCTGTATCCTGGCTTTGGTTCGGCTCAGCTCCAGCCATTGCACTCACTTGAGGTGTAAGCCAGCACTTGGAAGATCTTTCCGTCTCCTTCCCTCTTTAAACTTACCTTTCCAATAAAAATAACTAAATCTTTAAAAATATAAATAATAATAATAATCCCAAATTCCTTCACATTAAAAAATGTAATAATCCAAAGTTCCTTCACATTAAAAAAATTCTAAATGGATGCAATAATATTAATGCAAATAATATAAAGTGCTCTTTTGAAAAAAAAATTATTTAAAAGGCAGAGATCAGGCTTGGCGCAGTAGCCTAGCAGCTAAAGTCTTCGCCTTGAACCCACCAGGATTTCATACGGGCATCAGTTCTCATTCTAGCAGCCATGCTTCCCATCTTCAGCTCCCTGCTTGTGGACTGGGAAAGCAGTCGAGGATGGCCCAAAGCCTTGGGACCCTGCACCCGCATGGGAGACCTGAGGAAGCTCCTGGCTCCTGGCTTAGGATTGGCTCGACTCCGACCATTGTGGTTGCTTGGGGAGTGAATAAGCAGACAGAAGATCTTCTCTGTCTCTCCTCCTCTCTATATATCTCACCTTGCAACAAAAATAAATCTTTAAAAAAAAAAAAAAGATACACAGAGCTCTTCCCTTTAAAGCTTCACTCCTCAAATACCCATAATAGCTAGGGCTGGGCCAGGCTGAAGCCCAAAAGCCAGGAATTCAATCTGGGTGTCCCGCATGGTGGCAGGGAACCCACTAAGTCATTATCTGCCTCCTAGGGTACACATTAGCAGGAAGTCAGGATTCAACTCAAGCACACCAATATGTGATGCCAACATGTTAGGTAGCATTTTAGCCACTATGTTAGTTAGATGGCCATCCCGAAAACTAGTCTTTATGTGATTTTTTTTAAAGATTTATTTATTTTTATTTCAAAGTCAGATATAAAGAGAGCAGGAGAGACAGAAAGGAAGATCTTCCATCCAGTGACCGCAACGACTGGAATTGCGCCAATCTTAAGCCATAAGCCAGGGATTTCCTCCAGTTCTCCCATGTGGGTGCAGGGTCCCAAGGCTTTGGGCCGTCCTCGACTGCCTTCCCAGACCACAAGCAGGGAGCTGGATGGGAAGTGGAGCTGCCGGAATTAGAACTGGCACCCATATGGGATCCTGGTGCAGAGGAGGACTTTAGCTGCTAGGCCACGCCACCAGGCCCTCAAAAAGTAGTTTTTAACAGTTTAATTTCTTAATCTTTAACTACTTGGCCTTTATATCATAGGCTAATAAAAACATATCCTGGCCATTGTGGGCATCTAAGAATTCAAAACGCTCTCTCTCCTTCTCTTTGCTTCCCAAGTAAATAAATTTAAGAATAAAATAATGCTATTCCCAAAAAGACAGTACTCCGAAACTTCAATGATTCAGTATCAAGATCAGTTCCCTACTAACCTCCTCCGAAGAGGCCACATTCCGTGTTCCATTACAAGCAGAAGTTACCATGGGCTTTGTGGTCACTTGGAATGGGAATCCAAATAAGCTGGCAGCATTGTAGAGGCTGTTTTTTACTTGATGAATAAAGCAATCTAGAAAATATCAACAAACTATAAATATTAACAAACTCTGATTAAAAAACTGTATCTTACAATCTCTCTCAAATTTTATTTAAAGACTTATTTTTAATCACTGGAATTTTAAAAAGTAAATGCATAAAAGTAATAATTTCTAACTGAAAAATTAGAATGCCAATACTTTGATTTTTGTTTCTAACTAAAATGTTGCTAATGCTACAAAATCATGAAGCCATCATTTCAGCAAATCACATAGTGATTTGCAAGAAAACCATTCTGAAATGGCAGCTTTTTAGCCATGAATTCGTTTTCTGGGACATATAAACAAGTGTGCTACCAGATAAAAGAGGGCTTCATTACAGAAGAGGCATGCAGCCACTAGGTGTGGGAGAACCCTGCAAGAACGAAGCACCATCACTCAACTGGTTTGTCATGATCAGCCAGGCAGATAACAACATAGCTGACCTAAGCCACTCTTTGCTAACCCCTTCTCCCCCCACTCCACCCCTGTTGCGTTTTGGCTTGGTGAAGTATAAATTTGAAACTCCTCAACATCCATGATGAAACAAGGCTATCCCTCTGCTAGAGAAAAACTGCTTGTCAGATCTCAGACTCACCCCTTCAGCCACCGAAAAAATTACAAAAATAAGTACGTAAAAAGAGCAAGCTTCAGGAGCTAACGCTATGATGTAGCAGACTGCACAGCCATCTGTAATGCCAGCATCAATACAAGCATCAGTTCGATTCCCAGCTGCTCCACTCCTGATCTAGCTCTTTGCTACCTGGGAAGGCAGCGGAAGGGCAGGTTCTGGTGCTTTCCCAAATTCCTCCTTTTGTTGTACTACCTCGTCTTCACTTCCTACACATCTGGTGTTAAGTTTTCTAAAATTTTTTCCTTTTATTTCATAATTAAAGGTATTCTACAGTATTTGTGGGGAAAAAAACTATTACCTTAGATGCATTCTGCTTCAAGAAAAAAAGCTAAAATGGTCAATTTTCAAGCAATACATATTCTAGAACACACAAAAATTGTCTCCAGAATGCTATGGCAATAATTTAACCTAAAGGGAAGAAATAACAGCTATGGCAACCAGAATCCAACACAAAGTAATATCTCTGGATCACTTAAAAGTCTTAGAGACCAGCGTTGCAGCACAACAGATGAACACCATCAGTGATGCTGGCATCCCACAGGAGTGCCAGTTTCCTGTCCAGGCTGCTTTACTTGCTATCTAACCCCCTGCTAAAAGCCTGGGAAATGCACAACATGGACCGGGGCTTGAACCCCCACCACCTGTGATGGGGAGACCCAGAGGAAGCTCCTGGTCCCTGGCTTCAGTCTGGCTCAGCCCTAGCCACTGTGGCTATCTGGGAAGTGAATCAGCAAATGGAAGATCTCTGTCTCTCCTTTGCTCTCTGAAATGTTCAAATTAAAGGGAAAAAAAGGAGTACACTAAAAGAACAAAAGCTACTTCTCATTTTATGAAATTGATAGAATTAAAGGTTATCACTCTAATCACGTTGCAGGATTTCACTTAAATGCTACTGGGATTTTTAGTAATGTATGACATAAGGTTTAAAGATTGATGTTAACGAGAGCTTAAGAAGTATTCCTAATGACACAGTAAACAGGGACCACTAAAAAGGTACTGTAACGTTTTAGTTACCTTCAGCTAAAAATTGGATGGGATTTTAAGGATTTATTTTTATTTTCATTAGAAAGGCAAATTTACAGAGAGAAGGACAAAGATCCTCCATCTGCTGTTTCACTCCCCAAGTGGCTGCAATGGCTGGAGCTGAGCTGGTGTGAAGCCAGGAGCTTCTTCGGGGTCTCCCATGTGGGTGCAGTAGAGGATGGAGTCATCCTCTGCTGCTTTTCCAGGCTATAAGAAAGAAGACGGAGGGAAAGTGCAGTGGCCAAAACATGAACCAGCACCCATATGGGATCCACAGGTACAAGGCAAGGGTTTAGCCACTAGGTTTTGGTGTCAGCCTGGGATTTTTCTAATTACCTTTCTTAATTCACTTGTACTGTCACTGACATCAGTATTATCTATATACATACCTTATTCTTCCTACATATAATCACAAAAGGTCCTTAAAAATAGAAGCCTTGTATTACTTGTTTTTTCTTGTAAAACCTAATGCATGGCCTAGCATTAATGCATACTCAGTAATTACTAGCTAAATATAATTATTAACACAGATATATGCACACAACTACCACATTTGGAAGAATACCCCAATTCAGAGTCATTTTTGAAAAAGAACACATTATTAAGGTATTCCATTGCACACTTCTTTGAGAGGCGTTTTTATTCTCCTCTACTACTTCAGACACATGGAGGTAAAGAGATTATCAACAACAAATGAGATCAGTTTACATGGTCATCTGAACCAAACGTCTCAGCTTGCATCCGTTTTTACAACATTTCTTCCACAAAAATAAACAGTATTTTTTCGATATGAAAGCTTTTAAATTTTTTTTAAGTTTTATTTTTTTAATATCATTTTATAACATAGTTTCATAGGCTCTGGGATTCCCCCAGGCCCTCCCCAAACCCTCTCCCCATACTGAATTAAGAATTTAAAATTTTAAAATGACACTGAACACACTGGTTTTATTTATTTATTTTTTTTTTGAGAATATTTATGTTTCTGGTAATAGTGGTTACCTCTAGAAAAATATAACTGAATAGGAAAGGAAAAGACTTACTGTTTATGTATCATTCTCAAATTTTCTATTTATAAATATATTCCTATCAGAAATTAATTTTTAAAACGTATATATTCAATACCTAATCTTGGTCTTTTGGCTGGTATTTCATCAGTATCCACTGTAGAAAACAGAGTGCTGAAAAGGGAAAGGGAAAAAAAATTAACAATATACTTATACATATGAATAAACATACAACCCATTTCTATAGAACCTAGTGTTCATAATGCAACTCTTCTCTACTATTTTCTCAAAAAATGAGATCCAAGTAATGTTGCTATTTTTTTTCATGTTTATTTATTTTTGGGCCCAGCACCATACCCTAGTGGCTAAGTCTTCTCCTTGCAAAAGCCAGGATGCTATATGAGCACCAGTTCATGTCCTGCTGCTCCACTCTTATCCAGCACCCAGCCTGTGGCCTAGGAAAGCAGTGGAGGATGGTCCAATCCCTTGGGACCCTGAACCCACGTGGAAGACCTGGAAGAAGCTTTTGGCATCTGGCTTCCGATGAGCTCAGCTCTGGTTATCGCAGCCATTTGGGGAGTGAAGCAGTAGATGAAAAGAACTCCGTCTGTCTCTCCTGCTCTCTGCATATCTGCCTTTCCACTGGAAAGAGAGGAGGAAAGACAAAGAGGAAGATCATCCATCTGCTGATCCACTCCCTAGTGGCTGCAAAAGCCAGGCCTGTGCTAATATGAATCCAGGAGCCTGGAGCTCCAGGTCACCCACGCCGGTGCAGAAACCCAAGACCTTGGGCCATCCTCAACTGCTCTCCCAGGACACAAGTGGGGCTACCAGGATTAGAAACGGTGCCCATATGGATGCCACACATACAAAAAGAGGACCCCAGCCACTAGCCTACTGCGCCAGACCCGAAAATAAGTCTTTAAAAAAAGAGATGTATTTATTTCTATTTGAGGCAGTTTTCCAGGAAAGAAAAAAAGAGATAACGTCCACCTGCTGCTTGACACTCTGAAGGACATACAGACAGACCTCCGGTTATTTTCTTCAAATGGTCACAAAGGCCAGAGCTGAACTGATCCAAAGTCTCCCACATGGCTGCAGTGGCCCAAGGACTTGGGCCATCCTCTGCTGTTTCTCCGGGCCATAGCCAGGGAGACAGTCAGAAATGGCGTACATGGGACTTAAATGAAGTCTCTTATGAGATGCTGGTGCTACAGCAGGAATATCAGCCTGCTCACCACACCAGCCCCGCTACTGACATATTAAAATAGAATGTTCTTGGACCATTTGTTGCAGCACAATAGGTCAAGCCAGCATTCCACATGAGCACTGGTTCCAGTTCAGATGTTCTTTTTTTTTTTTTTTTTTAATTGGAAAGGCAGATGTACAGAGAGCAAGAGTCAGAGAGAAAGATCTTTCACCTGCTGATTCACTCCCCAAAGTGACTGCAAAAGCCAGATCTAAGCCAATCCAGAGCCAGGAGCCAGGAGCTTCTTCTTGGCCTCTCATGCAGGTGCAGGGTCCCAAGGCTTTGGGCTGTCCTCCACAGAATTCCCAGGCCACAAACACGGATCTGGACAGGAAGTGGAACAGCTGGCATATGAATACATGCTCTTATGGGATCCTGGCACCTGCAAGGCAAGGATTTAACCACATCCAGAACCCTGCTAACGTGCTTGGGAAAGTAGCAGAAGATGGTACAAGTACTTGGGTCACATGGAAGACCCAGACAGAGTTCCAGGCTTCTGGTTTCAGCTGGGATTGAGGTCACATGGGGAGTGAAACAGTGAATGAAAAATTTCTCTTTCTTCCCATGCTCTCAGCCCTTGAAATTAAAAACACAAACAAAACAAACAAACAAACAAAAAACTTTTAAAAAAGAAGAGTGAAAACAGAACAGAAAAATTTAAACCTGAGTGTAGCCAGAAGTCACTTGACTATCAGATGAACCTAACCCTGTTATTCCCTTTCCCTCTACAGAAAGGATTCAAACACAAGGGCCCAGCCAGGCAACCTAGTGGCTAAAGTCCTCACCTTGCATTTCCGGGATCTCCTATGACCACCGGTTTGTATCTGAGCTACTCCATTTCCCATCCAGCTCCCTGAATGGCCTGGGAAAGCAGTGAAGAATGGATCACTTGAAACCCCGCACCATGTGGGAGACCTGCAGGAGGCTCCTGACTTCGGCTCAGCTCAGCTCAAGCCACTGTGGAGTAAACTAGCAGATGAAAGATCATTCTCTCTGTAAATCTGATTTTCCAATAAAAATAAATAAATCTTGGGGCCCAGCATGATGGCCTAGTGGCTAAAGTCCTTGCCGTGAATGCGCCAAAATCCCATTTGGGTGCCGGTTTTAATCCCGACAGCTCCACTTCCCATCCAGCTTGTGGCTTGGGAAAGCAGTTGAGGATGGCCCAAAGCCTTGGGACCCTACACTCACATGGGAGATCTGGAGGAAGTTCTTGGTTCCTGGCTTCAGATCGGCACAGCTCTAGTTGTTGCGGTGACTTGGGGAGTGAAACATATGACAGATTTCCCTCTCTGCCTCTCCTTATCTCTGTGTATCTGACTTTGAAATAAAAATAAATAAATCTTTAAAAATAAATACAACTTTTTTTAAAAAAAAAAGGGCCCAATGGCTAATGTTTTCACCTGGCATTCACTGGGGTTCCACATAGGTGCTGGTTCGTATGCTGGCCACCCTGCTTCCCATTCAGCTCCCTGCTTGTGGTCTGGGAAAGCAGTTGAGGATGGCCCAAAGCCTTGGGACCCTACACCCACATGGGAGACCTAGAAGAAGTTCCTGGCTCCTGGCTTCAGATCAGCTCAGCTCTGGTTGTTGCAGTGACTTGGGGAGTATACTAACGGACAGAAGATCTTCCTCTCTGTCTCTCCTCATCTCTTTGTATCTGACTTTGCAATAAAAATAAATAAATAAATAGATAACAGATGAGACTCTTTACTGGTGTGTATGAGGGCAAAGTGTCTTGTCAGCAGGGATGGGCTGGGGTGCTTGCCTTACACAAGAAGGGATCCCATATGGGTACCAATTCTAATCCCAGCGGCCCAACTTCCCATCCAGTTCTCTGCTTGTGGCCTGGGAAAGCAGTCGAGGATGGCCCAAAGCCTTAGGACCTGCATCCACATGGAAGACCTGGAAGAAGTTCCTGGCTCCTGGCTTCAGATCAGCTCAATTCTAGGCCGTTGCAGCTGTCTGGGGAGTGACCCATCAGAGAGAAGATCTTACTCTCTGTATATCTGACTTTCCAATAAAAATTTAAAAATAATAAATCTTTTTAAAATAATGGAAAATAGGGATCTCCACAGGATAATAAAGGACAGAATTTTGATCTCCAAATCACTGTTCCACTAATGAGCAGGAATTCACACCAAACAGAACAGAGTTGAGGAAATCAGTACTTGTTTTTTTTTTTTTTTTTTTGGTAACCACGCACCAAATGTTTATGAAGCCCTCACTCTGCACAAAGCCCTAAGGGTGGAATAAACTATTTTTACCCAGACTAATTTTTTTTTTAAGATTTATTTATTTTTTATTACAAAGTCAGATATACAGAGAAGAGGAGAGACAGAGGGGAAGATCTTCCATCCTATGATTCACTCCCCAAGTGAGCCGCAATGGCCGGTGATGTGACGATCCAAATCTGGGAACCAGGAACCTCTTCCGGGTCTCCCACATGGGTGCAGGGTCCCAAAGCTTTGGGCTGTCCTCGACTGCTCTCCCAGGCCACAAGCAAGGAGCTGGATGGGAAGTGGAGCTGCTGGGATTAGAACCGGCGCCCATATGGGATCCTGGCGAGCTCAAGGTGAGGGCTTTAGCCACTAGGCCACGCTGCCAGGCCCCCAGACTAATTGTTAATTTGGGCTATCTCTCTTTTTTAAAGTTCTCAAATCACCCTTGCGATAACCCTACAAGAAGGTCCAGAAGAGAAGACTGAAGCCATGCATGTCACAGGACAATCACTCTAACTTCACACTGACCACTGCTGGTTGGGAATCTTTCACAAGCAGGGAGGCACCTAATTTTTTTTTCCTCTTAGGCGATTCTAAAGCACAGAAGCAGCCTCCCCTCTCTTCACCGGAGGGAACCCCGAACACAGAGTTTGAGAGCTCCTTCAGTACAAGACAGCTGCGTTTGGGGTGGTGGGGGAAGGGACGGTCCGGACAGTACTTGTGCAAGCTCTTGAATGTCACTTCCCCTGACAGTTGGGGACTGCGTTCTGCAGCTGGTGGTAAGCTACGGAAAGCAGCACTTCAATTCTTGGTTTCAGCCTTAATGCAACAGCATCAAGTCCAAACCCCACTGGTGGCCCGCAGCCAATATGTGCTCCGACAGGAGCCTCAGACTTGCTACCATGACCCTGCCAACTCCAAAGACGACCAGGGAGCGCCTTCCTCCGCAGCGCCGACGTCATCAGGATGTCCGCGCCCCGCAGCTGCCAGGCCTCGGAGTGGCAACCCCACGGGAGCGGAGCCAGGCCGGCAGGGTCCCGGGAGCCCGGGGTGCTGGAAGGAGAGCCGGCCCAGCCAGCGCTCGGCACCCCCGCCCTCCACTCACCTGTTCGAGCGCCGCCTCTTCCGGAGGGCGCGGGCGGGGGTCGCTGACCGGTCGCAGAAACGGAAAATGGTGCCGAGAAACCTAACCAGCCATCTGTACATACCAGGCCCGAGCAGCAGCGGCGGCCGACACACCCCGAGACGCAAACCCCAGAGCTGTCGCCGCCGCTGCCGCCTTCGCTGCCTCGGCCACCACCGCCAAGACCCAGTCGCTGACTTGTGACGTAATACCAAGGCCCACAGATAAAACGTCCACACGGCTCCGGAAGGCACCCGCCCGCCACAACTCCTGACGTTCCCTCCTCCCGCCCGGCCCAAAAGCTTCATTCTCGATTTGCGCAAGCGCAGCCTGGCCCCGCCCCCTACTGCCGGAAAATCCTAGCAACCGGAATCCGCGGGACGACGTCCGGCCCAATCAAGGAGGCGATGGTAGGGGCTGTGGGCGGGGCTTCCTTCCAGACGGAACCACTCCAGAGCCCGCCCGAGGGACAAGGCCCCCGACGCACGTGAGGGAGGGTACAACGAGCCTAGCCGAACAGTAGAGCGCATTTAGTACTTGGTAAATGCTTCTGGAATACACACGCCCTTTATCTGGCATATATCTATGCCTACTACTTGAAATATTACTCTATCGCCTGGTGGCTCGCAGCGACCCCCTGCAATGGGGCGTCCTTACGCTAGCCTGAAAAATCAAGAAATCGAGACAATTCGAGTGAGATCACAAAACCAGTGGTAAGAGTTGTTTGTACCAAGGTATCAGTACCAGCACTAGCCCCTCGCCGTTGAGATCCCTCTACTGAGAGAGCCCTAGATGATAACAGTACCAGGTGACTGGTTGCTGTGACAAAGAATGTGCCAAATGCGGGGAAACCGGTGGAAAAAAAAATGGAAAGCAAACAGTGAGGGACGGTAGACAAGGAGCCTTCCCTGAGGCAAACATGAAGGCACCAGAGGCCTCTAATACACTTGTTTGCTCCCGGCGCTGGCTCACATTACCTTCCCTCTGAAATCTAGGGACTGCTTTTCCAGTTAATTATCAACTATAGAATGAGCCCCACCCTGGTTAGCATTTTAAACAATCCTTGGAATTCTCTTAAGTCCTCCTGGCCTCACAAATCCCTTACAGCACCTGCACCTTATCATCAGTTAAGGATAGACTCCCAGACTAGTGTTTAACTTGCAAGAAACCCACTCAAATGGGAGGGGGGGGAAGGGATTCTCCAAAACAAAAGAACAATTTGCATTCTAAATAAACCAGGAAGATGCAAGTTTCTTTTGAATAACAAACTATTCCAACCTGGCCACCAAAACAAGTAATTCAAAGTAAGTCTCAGAGCACCACAGGGCAAACCTCAACCATTCCTTCCTTTCCTCTCCCCCACACAGACACACACTTTCCCTTCCTCTTTCATTGTATAAGCACAAGCACAAACTCAATAACTGAAAGTTGGTAATCTGGTTGGTAAAAAGGTGGGAAGGCTTCAGAATTACAGACTTCAGCCAACACACCGGTCCTCCAGTGCAAACCATGAGCGTGACAACCCACACCGACCTCCCCCCCCCAATCCCACCTTCCTGCTCCCTGACACAGCCTCCAAGTCCTCTTGTTACCCTCTGGAGTGAAGAAATGGAGACTCATCCTTCTAGCTGCTCCCACCTGGGACTCCTTTGCCAGTTGGTGCCTTCTCTGTCCTGTGGTCCACAGTAGGGGCAAAAGCCACTAGCCGTCTGCTGGCAAAGCAGCGGGATTACTTCGAATCGCATCTCGACCGCTGCAGCAGCTACTCCAGGAACCAGGAGCTCTTCACGGGAGGGCCAGAGGAGAAGCCCAAGGCCACATGGAGTCAGGAGGATGTAGACACGGGGGTCCCCATCTGGGAGAACTTGCACGCCTAGAAGGTAGCAAGGGCAGCACTTCATTGCTTTTGGCTCTCCCATGCTAGCAAAAACACCGGCCTCAGATTCAGAAAAAGTTCCTCACATCCACCTCGGTCTTTCCAGGACCCCACCCCCTCCCTTCCTCCAGGGAACAATGGCGACCCAGCCCTCCAATCCATTCTTTAGTCTTGCAAATTTTCCCATTTAAAGCATTCCCAGAGTGTTTAAAGGGGGGGAAAAAAAGGTGGGGGATTGGAGGAGAGAATTTTTCAACTTAGTTTTTGCTGATGCCTGCCACAACAGACTTCTAAGCTGTATCATTTAAGGGCCAAAGGGACCATAGATGAAATTTTGTTGATTTAGGCCCAAAGTGTCTAAATCCCAACATAATTAACCACGCTAAAGATCAGTTTCTTTCCAGAGATAAACTTTTCAGGTACATAAGAAGAAAATTCTTAAGACGCTACCTTGAACTTGGGGTCTGGAGATTAAAACTTTCAGCAGCCTGTTGGCTGCTGGTGGGTGCCAGGCCAGGATCATCTCCATGCTTGGAACCCCGATTCCAGCCACCGTGTACACGTGGTGACCTGTCCCTGGGCAGCCAGTGCACTATTCGGCGCCAGGCTCCGCCTGCTGGCTGCCCGGCGGCCAGCTCTGGGGTTTTGGGGATTTAAACTGCTGCTTAGGTAGCTCCATGTTAAGCCCACTGTACTTCTGGGATCTCAATCAAATCCTAAAGACTCCCAACAACAGGGTAACTTTTCCTTTGAAGGTAAGGGAGGTTAATGAGACCTGGTAGGTTTGAGAAGAGGGACCAGATGATCTTTATGGAAAAGTCTGATATACCAGCCTCCTATCAATCCTGTGTAGAACTTGTAATCACTGAACAAAGCTGAGCACTGAACAAGAGTCCATGCAAAAGCTAAGGCTCAGGGCTTGTCTAGCAGGATCAAATCCTATTACCTGACATGATGATGGATCAGGAGATGGGTCTCATTAGGCAGGTTCATGACAATAACTAGCAGGAGATAACGAGAACCATATCGGGGGTAGACTCTGTGGGGGATGTGTGGGCCAAACCCTGTGGACATACTAGCCCCACTGGTTAGCTCAAAAGTTAGGGTGGTGATAGACTAAGCTAGGTGTGACCAAGGAGCCTGCCATCAATCACAGGTAAAGGAACCCACAACAGTCTAGACTGGTCAGGGCAGCAGCACCCGAATGTGCATCCTGAATAGGGTGTGAGGTGGGCCGGGCTGCAATATTCATGAGCTCATACAAGGCCAAATGGAAGGCCAAACTATGCCTGACACTGGCCTAAAACCCACTGGCATGTATGAGAACTGGGTCTGGGAGTGGATCAAGTGGAGGAACTTGGGGAACTCCCCTGGCGAGTCATAGCTCCTGCTGGTGAACACATGGTCTGGGCCTAGGGGTCGGACAAGCTGGGCAAAGTAGCTCCAAAGGCTGGCTAATGTATGAGTTGGCCATGGAACCGGGTAGACTGGGCAGGACTTAGCCCACAAGCAAAACTAGAAACCAGGTTGAAGCACAGGTCATGCCCAGATAGGCTCTTACACCTACTGGTCTGTGTGAGTCAGGGACGCTAAGCCACTGCATCTAGGACAGGGGCCGGGATAGGTGAGGGGCAGTGCTAAGCTGAGTCAAAGCAACCACTGGCATGTGTACAATCTATGGCTGGGAACAGGCCCCGTTGGAAAGCTAAGGGGACACCCTAGTTGGGTTGATAGTCCCACCAAGGAGCACATGGGCTGGAATGGGGGCTGTGTTCTGATCTGGTTATGGCTGTAGTCTCCCTTGGCACAAGTGTGGGCTGGGACTGGACGCACAAAGCTGGGCTAGACTCTGACACCATCTGGTGCTCTGGAGGAACAGCGTAGATATGGGACGGACTAGGCTAGGTCTCAGCCCCTACTGAGCTATGTGTCAGCTGTATGTGGGTATGGACAAGCCATGGCTGGGCTGAAACATCCAACAGTAAGAACCAGATTGGGTTGAAGGCCAGTCAGGAAAGGCCACTGTTCCTGCTAGGACAGGAGCTGAACTGAGTAGTACTGGCTCATGGACCCACTGGTATGTATGAAATCTGGCATTGGGATAGGTACTGATGGAGGAGCCTGGGCAACTCCTCTGGCAGGACACAGACCCTGAAGGTAAGCGCAAGAAGCATGATAGGAAACAGCCCAGAACAGGCCATGGAAAGTTTCCCACTGGCATACATTTGGCATGGGTTGGGGGCAGACCAGGCTGAATCAGTTCACATCACCCACTGGCAAATCCAAGCACCAGAACAGAGTGTGGGTTGAGCCAGGTTCGGTCACGACAAAAAGCAGTGCACATTACAGAATGCCAAGGTGAGGTTACCTGTACCGGATGTGACTACAGCGCCCAACCAGTACATGTGAGAACCAGGAAGGGACGGTGTGGCGCCAGTAGGGGGAATAATGGGAGGTTCCCCTGATGGACAATCACTTCCACTGGAGAACATGAGCTGGGATGGGGGCAGACCAGACTGAGCAGGGCTACAACACTTATGGGCCCCACGTGCACTAGATCAGGGAAAAGTCAGGCTGGTCTGATGGTTGGCCGTAGCCGCAGCATCAGCTGGCAGAAACTGGCACTGGAGGCTAACTCTGTTAAATTAAACCACAGAATTACCTGGAGAGTGCATAATCTGGCAGTGGGAAATAGTGGGCTCCTCCCTCTTGGGTTACCACTCCCACTGGACGGCATGAAAACCAGTACAGGGGCTAGGGCGGCAAGACAGAAAGGCATTCTACAGCATGTGTATGGGCTGAATAGTCAGGCTGGTTGAGTTGAACTAGCCTTCAATGCCCATTGACATGTATGAGAGCTGAATGGGATGTGGGAGAGACTGGACTAGTCTGCTACACATACCAGCAAACCAGAATAGGGGGTTGGCCTGGTGGGAGTTATTGTGGGTCGCTTCAACTAGGCTGCAGCTCCCACTGGTTTATGTGAGAGCCGAGTGTGTGCTGGGCAGAACCAGGCTGGACTGCAACACCCATTGGTTCCAGTGGAAGACAGGGGTGGAAACAGAACCCACCCAGCAGTTGCAACCACCAGCTGATTGTACCGGGCCCTGTACTTGTAACCACCACCGGACTGTACCAGGCCCTGTCCTTACAAGTTGCAGGTTGTTATACACCACTGCGAGTAGAAGCAGGCATTCTTTATATAAGACTTGTTTTTATTGGAAAGTCAGATATACAGAAAGGAAGAGAAACAGAGAGGAATATCTTCTGTCCACTGATTCACTCCTTAAGCGGCCACAACAGCTAAAGCTGCACCAATGCAAAGCCAGGAGCCAGCAGCCAAAGCCTCTTCCAGGTCTCCCACACAGGTACAGGTCTCCACAAGGCTTTGGGCTGTCCTCAACTGCTTTCCCAGACCACAAGCATGGACCTAGATGGGA